CAAGATCTCAGCTTGTCAGACTCTATCCCCACGATTTGTCAGGATTCTCTTTTTGGGAGTGCCAAACCTCCTTTCTAGGCCTATATAAAGTCCTTTATTATAATTGAGGTCCTCAGTTTTTAGGTGAATCATTTCTCTATACTGTGAGAACCTCTTCCTCTTGGGTGTGAATTCAGACACCCTGTTGTGGATTCAAGGGGTTAAAGACCCGAATTTGTGGATTCAGAAGCAGGTTTCCTCCCCAGGATTAGAGCTTTGGAGTTTCAAACGCATATCTCGTTGTTCTTCCACGTTACTGTTGCATCAGTAGTGTTCCCAAGTATGTAATGATTTAACCACAATAGAAAATTTTAATTCATACGTAGTCCGCTTTATTCTTGGTTCTGTAAATTTTTCAGTATAAAAAGTGACTATGCAACCTTAAAGTTTCAAATAATTTTAATTCATATGCTTTACAATAATACAACGCCAATTTCAGTAATTAAAGTATCACATTCTATTTGAAATAATTTATGAAAAATTGACGGTATTCATATAGGGGGAGAACTTAATTCTTCTTTAATTACAAATAAATCTTGTAGAAAAGAATGCTAAGCCATGAAAACTACGAACATCATATGTATTCTTTGGAATTAGCCAATCTTTAATATCTTTAACCTTTCATTTATCCACTTTTATTTATCTCATAAAAACTAAATTTGAAGTAAAATAGTCAATATAGATCTCAAATGATGATGATGGTCTTCCTTTGTGGTACTGTATATCAAAATGTCATTATAATAGACAATAATAAATTTTCTTTGAAAATCTTCAATATACCTGATTCATTATTTGCATAAAAAGTAGTAGGGGTATTAGATAAGCCAAATGGCATCAACAACCTGGCATATAATTCTACTTTCATCTTGAAGGCAGTCTTCCATTCATCACTTGGATGAATCTGAATTTGATGATACCCACTTTTAAGATCAGTTTTAGCTAAGATTTTGGAACCACACAACATGTCAAGCATATCATCAGGTTCCATCTTGTTTTGGTGAAAATTTACATTTCTCTATGATTTTGTTAATTGCTCGACTATCTACACACATTCATTAGGTTCCATCTTTTTTTGGAGCTAATATTATAGGCACTGAGCATGGACTCATACTTTTGTAAATTAATCTTTTCTCTAGTAGCTCTTCAACTTGTTCTTGTAAAATCTTATTCTCCTCAGGGCTCATTTGTGTAATGAGGTAAATATGGCAAACACTCTCCATGAATGAAGTCTGTATGATGTTGTATGTACATGAGCAGAGGAAGAGATATAACGGAATGAAGTAATATTTTTTTTTGTTGTCAATTATCATAACTTGCCTCTTTTTTCTTTATTTGTGCTGAAAACTTATTTTTTTTATGAGGTGTAAAACAAACTAATCAGCATATATGTAAAAAACATTACTTTCCAGGTGTCCTGCATCTAAATTCTACTGGCATGGTGATGTAGCCCAAAACTTGAAGCCCACTACTGAAGTAGCGTGAAACCCACAATAGACACATATTGAAGCCCATTATTATTGCAGCTTGAGGCCCACTTTACTAAGCTGGCCCAGTTATGAAATTAGGCCGATATATCTGTTTCTTACTAGTTTTTACATTTCACCTGAAATTCAATTTTTAAATTTAAATTTTCGTTTCGATTTCAAATTTCATCCGAAATTGACGCAACGAAAGTGGAGAAGGGAATGACTTGAAAGAGTTGTGATCAACTCTAATATTGTGGGGGTCGAAGACACGTGTTAAATCCTGGAAAAATGTGCTCTAATGGTTATCCCTTCTGTTGAGTCCACAAGGGGGTGATTCTGAATCCACAGAATCAAGAAAAGGGTTCATTGAGTCCATTGGGGTGCTAGAGTCCACCAGCAGAAGGAGAGAACTTCCAGAGAAGAAACTCATGAAATTATATTGAAAAATATGATGTTGCTAAAGAGTCTTGATTTGCCTCTAGGGCTACAGGAGGTGCCTTTAAATAGGCTAAAGAGTATTCATTTACCTTTAAAATAGGCTAAATAATATCGCTATGGTCTACCTAAAATTAGATCAGAAGAATCCATCTCAACAACATCACAGTCAATTTTTTGAAAATAAAATTTTCCCATTTAGAACTTAACTGAACAGGTCTCTATAAGTCTAGTTTCATACAGAAGAAATAATATTTTCACTACTACCATAGTCAATACTCACATCACATATCTTCTCATCAACAATACATTTTGTCCTAAAAAATAATATTTCTTGATTCTTTGGTGCACACATCAGCCTTCGAATGACTAGTGAGTGACCAAAGTCTTCTTTTTCTTCACCTTCAATAACATTATCTGAATTTTCTTCCTTGTCTTATGCACCCTCAATTTCATCTTCATTTATGGCCAATGTGAAATTCACAGCACCACATTTTGGACAAACATTTGATTTGTGATCTTCTTCAGTACATCTGTAACATTTTGGAACAGAGTTAGGTACATATGTATTTCTTTAAAAACAGTTTCGCCCACTAGTAAGAGATACACTTGCAGCTGACGTTATTGAAAGTGAAGAAAAGGATTTTTCTTTGAAAAGGATTTCTCTTTGAAAAGGATTTCTCTTTGAAAAGGATTTTTCTTTGAAAAGGATTTTTCTTTGAAAAAGATTTTTCTTTGAAAAGGATTTTTCTTTGAAAAAGATTTTTCTTTGAAAAGGATTTTTCTTTGAAAAAAAATTTTCTTTGAAAAGGATTTTTCTTTGAAAAAGATTTTTCTTTGAAAAAGATTTTTCTTTGAAAAGGATTTTTCTTTGAAAAGGATTTTTCTTTGAAAAAGATTTTTCTTTGAAAAGGATTTTTCTTTGAAAAGGATTTTTCTTTGAAAAAGATTTTTCTTTGAAAAGGATTTTTCTTTGAAAAGGATTTTTCTTTGAAAAGGATTTTTCTTTGAAAACGATTTTTCTTTGAAAAAGATTTTTCTTTGAAAAGGATTTTTCTTTGAAAAAGATTTTTCTTTGAAAAGTATTTTTCTTTGAAAAAGATTTTTCTTTCATTATTGTTAGCAGTTGAAATTTGTGATGAAATTTGAAGTTCGAGATTTTCCTTCGTTCAATAAAGCATCAATACGTTTTGATGCCATACAGACATCATTTAACTTAAAAAATGATTGCGAAGCAACCTTTTCTCTAATATCTCATCAAAGTTGACACAACAAAAATTTGATGAATTGACAACCTAATCACGTTTCAACTTTGGGTATATATTTTGAAAACAAGATCACGAACTTGAATCTGAAATGAACGTGTTTTGGTTGAAAAGTCCTTGTCCACAAGATTAAAAATGGCTCCTTGAGTCCACAGGGATACTAGAATCCATCAGTAGAAGGGAAGAACCTCCAAAAAGGAAAGGAACTCAAAATTTGATTCATAAAAAAACGTGTCTCCTTGGGTTTACATGGGGGAACCTATTATAGGCCAAAAATTAGTGATAACTAACCTATAAAAGGGGAAATCTGTTATGATCCTAGAAAATAGGGAGTAGAAACAGTTTAAATCGTCTTATGAAAAATGAGGATTATGTTAGAAGGCTGATAAGTTTTCATTATCATGAGTTAATAATTAATAAATAATATAGTTTTAGCCTTAACCCATAAAATTATCATAGAATTGTATGCAAATTTAAATTGAGCTAAGGTAAGATCCTATTGTCTTAGTTTGTCTTCTGAAAACAATGGATTAAATTACAAACTGTCCTGTTAACCACTTTTGTTTGTCTATCGGTTTGTGGATGACTCGTAGTACTGAATTTTAAGCATGAGTGAAGTCTGTTTCAAAGAGTACGCAAGAAATGAGATTTTTTTTTTTTGAATCTATGTTAGAGATAATAGTCTTAGAAACTTCATGCAAATGAACTTTTTCCTTAAAAAATAAATATACTACTTGAACAGCATCAATAGTCTTTTTACATGCAATAAAATGTGTCATCTTTTGAAAAATTATCTACGATCACAAAAATAAAATCTGCTCTTCTTTGAGTACGTGGTAATCCTAAAATAAAATTCATAGAAAGGGCAGTTTATGCATTATCTGAAATGGAAAATGTAGTGTACAAATGTGTGTTCTAGCACTGTTTTTTATTGACTTGACAAAGTTGACATCTTTGCACAAAACCTTCAACTGTTTTTTTTAAACTATGGCCAGTAATAGTATTCTTCTATCATTTTTAAGGTCTTGTCATGGCCTAAGTATCTCCCTAGTCCTCCTACATATGATTCTCGAATTAACTTCTAACGGAAAAAAGTTCAAGGGATACATAATTTATTTTTGTGAAATAAAATCCTCGAGAATGTGAAATCCAATAGATGGTTTACCTTATTAACACATATATCATCTTTGAGCAAAATCCTCATCTCCTGCATAGAGTTCTGTCAGATATTCAAAACCATTAACTTTTCCTCTTATTGTAATCAGAAATACTAGTTTTCAGCTCAATGTATTAGCCACTTTGTGTCATTTTACTGATTTGTGTTTTATCACAGAAATAAACTTTCGAATAAATAAAATCTATCTAGCATGTACTATGTTGATAGTGGTCTAACTGTTGATTGATTTCAAAGCTTCATGGTCAGTAAATTAAATAAATTCTCATGGAATCAAGTAATGTTCCAAAGTATGTAATGATTTAACCACAACATAAAATTCTAATTCATATGTAGCCTACTTTATTCTGGGTTCTATTAATTTCTCACAATAAAAGGCGACTGAACGACCTTGTTAGGATAATGCAACTCTAATTTCTATAATTGAAGTATCAAATATGACTATTTCACTCATATTCAGTGTTAGTGATATATATATGAGTACGACAATGATTCAAATGAAGACTTGAGGTCGAGCTTTCTTGGAAAAAGAGAGATTGATGTAACCGAAGACACAAGTTTGGGCGCACTTATCCTAAATTTTGGCCATAAAATGAAAGGTGATAAAAAAGAAGTCCACATATGTCACCAGCGGCTGGAGGCCCAAAAAGTATTATTCATTTTCTACTTTATGTCTCTTTCTTTCTAGAAGAGACTTAAATGTGGTTTAATCTATACTTAAGATCTGTTTAGGATCTCTGACTGTCAGATTTTGTACCTAAGATCTGCTTAGGATCTCTGATTGTTAAAGTCTGTTTTAAGTCATTTTAGAGTTAGTCAGGCTATTTTTAGAAGATCTGCCCAAGATCTCAGCTTGTCAGACTCTATCCCCACGATTTGTCAGGATTCTCTTTTTGGGAGTGCCAAACCTCCTTTCTAGGCCTATATAAAGTCCTTTATTATAATTGAGGTCCTCAGTTTTTAGGTGAATCATTTCTCTATACTGTGAGAACCTCTTCCTCTTGGGTGTGAATTCAGACACCCTGTTGTGGATTCAAGGGGTTAAAGACCCGAATTTGTGGATTCAGAAGCAGGTTTCCTCCCCAGGATTAGAGCTTTGGAGTTTCAAACGCATATCTCGTTGTTCTTCCACGTTACTGTTGCATCAGTAGTGTTCCCAAGTATGTAATGATTTAACCACAATAGAAAATTTTAATTCATACGTAGTCCGCTTTATTCTTGGTTCTGTAAATTTTTCAGTATAAAAAGTGACTATGCAACCTTAAAGTTTCAAATAATTTTAATTCATATGCTTTACAATAATACAACGCCAATTTCAGTAATTAAAGTATCACATTCTATTTGAAATAATTTATGAAAAATTGACGGTATTCATATAGGGGGAGAACTTAATTCTTCTTTAATTACAAATAAATCTTGTAGAAAAGAATGCTAAGCCATGAAAACTACGAACATCATATGTATTCTATGGAATTAGCCAATCTTTAATATCTTTAACCTTTCATTTATCCACTTTTATTTATCTCATAAAAACTAAATTTGAAGTAAAATAGTCAATATAGATCTCAAATGATGATGATGGTCTTCCTTTGTGGTACTGTATATCAAAATGTCATTATAATAGACAATAATAAATTTTCTTTGAAAATCTTCAATATACCTGATTCATTATTTGCATAAAAAGTAGTAGGGGTATTAGATAAGCCAAATGGCATCAACAACCTGGCATATAATTCTACTTTCATCTTGAAGGCAGTCTTCCATTCATCACTTGGATGAATCTGAATTTGATGATACCCACTTTTAAGATCAGTTTTAGCTAAGATTTTGGAACCACACAACATGTCAAGCATATCATCAGGTTCCATCTTGTTTTGGTGAAAATTTACATTTCTCTATGATTTTGTTAATTGCTCGACTATCTACACACATTCATTAGGTTCCATCTTTTTTTGGAGCTAATATTATAGGTACTGAGCATGGACTCATACTTTTGTAAATTAATCTTTTCTCTAGTAGCTCTTCAACTTGTTCTTGTAAAATCTTATTCTCCTCAGGGCTCATTTGTGTAATGAGGTAAATATGGCAAACACTCTCCATGAATGAAGTCTGTATGATGTTGTATGTACATGAGCAGAGGAAGAGATATAACGGAATGAAGTAATATTTTTTTTTGTTGTCAATTATCATAACTTGCCTCTTTTTTCTTTATTTGTGCTGAAAACTTATTTTTTTTATGAGGTGTAAAACAAACTAATCAGAATATTTGTAAAAAAAATTACGATCAGCACTGTTGATGACGATAAAAGGATCGCGAATCCATTAAGTAGAACATCTCTTATTGATTGACAAATGTGTGTTCTAGCAGTGTTCTAGCACTGTTGATGACGATAGCAATGTGTGTTCTAGCACTGTAAAAAAGCATTGTTCTATGAAAATGTAATTTATTCATAGAAAGGGCAGTTCACGATAAAAGGATCGCAAATCTATTAAGTAAAGCATCTCTGATTGATTGAGAAATAAGCCATCGTCGGGAAGATGACGATCCGCCGGGAGACGAGTCGCCGCCTCCTGAGAGCATACCGGATGCAATGAAGAGCCTCCTCTTGTTGTGTGGACTTGAGGATGAAGCTCCCTAACACGCGCCCCACCTCCATCCAGCTCCTCTCCGTTAGGTGACAGTCGTCGAAGATGATTCGACACCTATTTCATTGATCTCAAAACCGTGGACACTACACCACCATCTTCACTTCCTTTAGTGATAATTTATGTGATTTAAATTTACCACGATAAAGTTTATTTAATTACGATTCTTCCGACTTTTACAGATTTTAATTTGATCAATGAAATCGTCTATAATTGCTGATGTAAGAATTGTCGGGCTGAACTTTGTTTCCGTTTGATTCATGTTTTCCGGGGGCTGACGTCATCTTGATGTCCGCACCCTTATTTTTTATTTTCGTAAATTTTAAATATATTTCATTTTCATTTTCTATTATAAAATTCATAGAAAATAGTATTCTTAGAGGAAAATTCTGAATAATTACCTAATATTATATTACATCCGTGTGATCAACTTGAAAAATTACTGCTATTTTTGGAAGTTTTATTGAATTACAATCAATATATTTATTCAGAAATACTTCTAAATATCCAAAAATTTATATTTTCTAGTTTTAGAAATTTTAAATTTATGTGATTTACTGTACAACAACTAACTCACATCACATATGTACTTTACTATGTTCTTTGTCAGTGAAACTCTTCTTAGAAGAATCCATATGTACCTTACTATATTTCAAAATATTACAGATGTTATGAACTTTACAGGTAAACTTCACAGAATCCGTAGGTGAAGATAAATTTGACGGTCAGGAAAGTCATGAAGAAGCTTAAGATGACAAGTTTGAAGAGGACTACTCTCTAGTCATTTGAAGACTGATTGGATTTCTAAATGTGAGAGTTTTTTGAATATATTAAGATTTCTGATGAGAAACAGATGAAATTAGTTGGCCATGAAACAGATGAGAGACTATGTTTTTTATAGATGGTCACATGCTTAGTTAGCCTAAATCTTTCAGTTTGCACATTTTATTCATGCCTAAATCTTACCATTTTATTTTGTTTAGGACGATCCAATTTCTTAGGGGCCTTCTAATAGAATCCTCCTTGTTCATAAGAAGGTGTATTCAGTTTTCATCTACCTATTTTTTAGGATCTTAACAGATTTCCCTCTTGTACGAGTCAATTTACAGATATTTCTTTAGTTACATTTTCAATTGGAAAAGTTTATTTTGATGAAATTTACTACAATGTTGTTGAGATCGATACCTGTCATCTAATTTTAGATAGACCATGACAATATGGTCTAATATGTTATTTTCCTGGGCATAGATAGTCTCATTTTGTTCTTGACAAAAATGGTCAGATGTTTATTTGAGATATAGTACCACATAAGAAGAATATCATCATCATTTGAGATCTGTGTTGATTGTTCTACAACGAAATGAGTTATTTAAAAAATTAAGGAACTGTACAATTCTTCAAGTTTAATTTTCTTGGGGTATAGTGTAAGTGCAGATAAGATCAAAGTAGATGAAAGAAAGGTTGAAGCTATCTTGACTTTGTTTCCATTATTTTTTACTCGAAATTTCAACTCAATTGTTGCTCTCATCCATCAGTGCAACAAATTTCAAGATAGAAGCAGCAGATGTAACTTTTATTCTAATTAAAGAAAGTCGAGTTCTTCCCGTATACTACCACTGCCAAATTTTGATAGATTATTTGTAGTGGAATGTGATGCATCCATTACTGGAATTAAAGTTGTATGATCTCGAGAAGGTCATCTTGTAGCTTCTTATAACGAGAAATTAACAGAAGCTGGGAGAAAGTGGACTACATGTTAGTTAGATCATTACATTTTGAGGATACTATCAACAGAGTCCATATGTGTAAATATGAGTTGATTTCATTTATGTAAAAGTTTTCTTTGGTGATAGCACAAATCAGAAAATGAAGTCTGTGGTTTCAAATATCTACAGAACTCTATGCAGGAGATGAAGATTTTGCTGAAATCTTGTATACGTGTAAACAAGGCAAACCATCCAAAAGATTTCAGTTCTGTATCCCTCAAACTACATTTTGTGAGAAGTAAATTTGAGAATTACATACAGAAATACTTGGGAGACACTTATGCTTGACAATACCTTGAAAATGATGGAGGAATGATATTATTGGCCACTGCTGTAAAAAGAAGTTCAAGGTTTTGTGTAATGTCAAATTTTTACAGCTAATAAAGGACATGATACATGACATAATACTTCCAAATAACATGACCTGATTGAAGTACCAAGAAAATATGGTACTCGTGTACCAGTAAATGACATGACAAAATACATTCAAATAAGATGACCTAATTGAAGTGCCAAGAAAACCTGGTACTTGTATACCAGTAAATAACATGACCTGATTGAAGTACCTAGAAAACATGGTACTTATATACCAGTAAATAACATGACAGAATACGTCCAAATAGTACATGAGAATTTGAAGAAGCATGTTACAATCAATTATTCAAACTTTAAAGAAAAAACAGAGAAAAATAGGAGATATTTAAAGTTGGTGATTTGGTTATGACAAGCTGAGTCCACGGAAGTATTGTCCATTTAAAATCCTTCAAAAGATTAAGAATAATGCATATGTCATTTACTTAAAAGAGACAATAGGAATATCATCTTCATTCAACATGATAGATATCTATGACTATTATCCGAGTAATAAACTCCAAGAGAAGTCCTTTCCAAGAAGGGGAGAGAGTGTAACTCAGAGCATAAAGCCCACTACTGAAGAAGCCTAAAGCTCAGTATTGATGTACCTAGAAGCTAATTACTGTTTGACGCAATGAAAATTCAAAGAATTGATAACTAGATCACGTCTCATCTGTGTGTATTCCGATAGCAAAATCACAACGTTGAATCTAAAAGAAATGTATCTTTGTTGAAAAATTTCTTACTTTGAATCAACAGAATACGGATATTTTTCCCCTCAAGTCCACAAGGTGTTGATCCTGAGTCAACAAGATGAAAAATGGTTCCCTAAGTCTACAGGGATACTGGAATTGACAAGTAGAAGAAGAGAGCCTCCGAAAAGGAAGAAAACTTGAGAATGGATTCATAAAAACGTGACTCTTTGGGTCACAAAGTGTACAAGATCTACTTTTTATAAGTGCAGTGGTGATACAGCGGTAATGTGAAAGATAAACAAGATCTGCCTTTTTGGGTTCCTATATAATTTGATAATTTTTTCTGTGACGCAATAGTAATGTGGGCTTCAAGGTGCATCAATAGTGGGCTTCAGGTTTTGGGCTGCATAACTGTCATTATCCCATGCTGTCATCCTGGATACTAAAGTTGCCACGCCTGAGGAGGTTGTAGTTAGAAGGTGAGTCATTTTCAGCTTTTCTTCCCTTCAAGTCTTATCCCAGAGGTGGCAACCAGTGGTTTCCCAATTTCACTGAACTCATAGTATACTATGCTGGTACTTGATGGATCTGTTCCCACAGCGGGTTCCCAATCTGTTTCCAAGTGAAGTATCCTAGGAATGGAAAGAGATGATCAGCTCCCACGGTGGGTTCCCACTGGTGGAGTCCCTCGAACATTTGCTAGATGAGGGAGAGAGGTGGGTGGCTGAGGCAGGTGCATGCCTGGCCTAAGCAGCTTGAAGATCAACTACTACAAAAAGTTGGCAATACTTCCCGAAGGGTTTCTTTGATGGAGGTCGTTTTGTATAAAATGTGCCCTAAAATCTGTTCAACGGCTGACAAGGAGGGACAGGATTGGCTGAAAATTCAACACATACCTTCAATCACCATTTGATAGAAGTACATGTGACACAGAAAAACCTGAGAGGGGAATGCCTTGAACGAGTGGTAATCAACACTAATGTGGTGGGGGTGGAAGACACGTCCTTAGTCCTCGAAAAACGTGTTACACTGGTTGTCATTTTGCTCTAAATTTACAAGTTGAAGAAGACAGGTCCCTCAAGGCCACAAGGGGGTGACTCTGAACCCACACAATCATGAACAGGCTCCCTGAGTCCACAGGGGTGCTGGAGTCAACCAGCAGCAGAAGAGAGTTTCAACAGAAGAAACTGACGAAATTGTATTTATAAAAGGTAATATGCCCCTGGGGTTACATGCAGTGCCTTTAAACACACCATGGAGTCATTTGGGCCTAGGATTTGTATTTCAAATGAAATCTAAATTTCAAATCTAATTTTACATGAAATTTGAATTTCAAATGAGAATTTGAATCTCAAATAAAATTTGAATTTCAACGAAAGTTTTAATTTCGGATGAAATTTAAAATTTAGATGAGCATTTTAGTTTCAAATTTGAATTTGAAATTCAAATTTTAATTTCAGATGAAATTCGAAAAATAATAAAAATAGATATATAGGTGTAATTTCGTAATTGGGTCAGTTAAGTCAAGTGGGCTTCAAGTTGCAACAGTAATAGGCCTCAATGTGCATCAATAGTGTGGGCTTCAGGTGTCTTCAATAGTGGGCTGGAGGTCTTGTGATTCAGCCCAAACCCTAAAGCCCACTATTGAATAAGTCTGAAGCCCAATATTGATGCACGTTGGAGCCCATTATTGTTATAGCTTGAAGCCCACTTTAGTTGATGCACACTGAAGCCTATTATTGTTACAGCTTGAAGCCCACTTTACATGCTCAATTATGAAATTAGGCTCATATATCTTGTTTTTTAATGTTGTGCATTTCATTTGAAATTCAAATTTAAATTTCAAAATTCAAATTCGAGATTCAAATTTTTGTTTGAAATTCAAATTTCATCCGAAATTCAAATTTCAGCCAAAATTTAATTTCAAATTTATATTTCATTTAAAATTCAAATCCTAGCGCCCAAATCAAGACTCTTTAGCTGATTTAAAGGCACCCCCTTATAGCCCCAAAGGCATATTACCTTTTTTCAATACAATTTCATAATTGTATACAATTTCATAATCAAAATACAATTTCAAATCCTAGCGCCCAAATCAATACCTTTTTCCAAAACATGATACACGACATAGAGAGAGAACTCTAGCACCCCTGTGGACTCAGGGAACCTGTTCTAGATTCTGTGGATTCAGAATCACCCCCCTTGTGGACTCAACGGACCTGTCCTTTTGACCTTGTGGATTCAGAGCGAAAGGACAACCATTCGAGCACATTTTTGGAGGATAGAAGACGTGTCTTCAACCCCCACAACATCAAAGTTGATCACAACTTGTTCAAGTCATTTTCTCCTCAAGTTTTCCTACATCATTTTGGGCTGCATGAACGATGCCTGCAATGGTGATTGACGGTCAGGACATGTACGTGAGCGAATTTTGGATTAAGAGCAGGATTGTAATGCTTGTAACACTACAAGTGCATGAGGAAACCCATCATCTCCATTTGTGTTGCCAATGAGGATTCAATGATCGCTCTCTCTCTCTCTCTCTCTTATATGTTTGCACTCGTCTTCCAGTATGCAAGGACGATAAAATTCATTCTAACAACTCATGAGGTGGCTCTTACAGGCAGGGGAGAAGAGTTGATTATGCTAGTAATGGTCAATGGTCTGACATTGATAAATTGCTACCAATGCTACCTGAATTGTGGGGAAGTCAAAAAGTAAGAAAATTCCACCTTGTCACCAAAAATCCACCTTTTTAATTCATAAAAATCTCCCAATAAATCTAGACAACTCAAAAAAGTAAAATGGATAGGTATATTCTTTTGCATTTATTTGAGAGATAAAGATAAAGATAAAGATAGGTATATTCTTTGGATTTATTTGTTGAATTGAGTTCTCCTTCAATTTTGTGAGTTAAATTCATGAAACAGACCTTTTGTGTTACTCTGAGAACTGTAAGAATGTGAAAATGAAGAATTTGACAATGTCTAGGTAAACTTGTTTTTTGGACCATTCATAACATTTGTTGTAAATTCCATGTGGGGTTCTCTGATGTTCTGATAAACAAAGGTATCTTTAGAATATTAGAAGTTTTGTGCTTAGCTTTAGATGTTTTTCCTTCTGTTTTCATGTCTTTCAATTGGACAACTCATTCAAAACAGGTTTCTTAGTTCCATACTGGCTATGTATATTTCTGTTGTTATTCTTATTATGTCCTCGGCAGCTGTTGTTATATTTTTGTTATGTGACACAAGAAGAGGAACAAATGGTTCAGGCTATAGATGTGAAAGCATCAATGTTGAATGTAAACTTGTCTTCAGAAACCAATTTTTGTGATGGGGAGAACTTATAATGCTCTCAACACACCAGGGAGGCAGAAAGGATCAAGAACCTTGTAATCCAAGGCGATACAACCTTTATTTACTTAGAATTTTCATTGTTGATCATATACTCATGTATTTATTATGGTTCATTTCAGTTACATCAGTGACATTAGCCAAGTGAATAATAATATTTTTGCTTCAGACTTTTATTGTTCTCTTAATGTTTCTACTATGTTGTACCATTTATCAGGGTCATATATTTTTTTTGCATACGTAGTTCCATATATGAATGGGAACCAATTATGTGCTATGTCATAAGATAGAAAATAGAAAACGATCATGTTTCTTATGTCCTTTTTACTCAGATTTTTTTATTGCAGTTCTATCATATTTAAGGTGGATTTGTGTCTTTTGGATTGGGTGGTCTCTGAGTATTGTTTACCCTTCTTTTTCAATTTAAATATTAAAATAGACAATCTTTTTAATGCAAATATGTAACTTAAAAACAAGTTTTAATATGAGGTTTATGGAGCATTTGAGGCTTATTTATGGAGTTAGAATCGATAATGCTTTGTAGCTGTTGATTTTTTAATCATGTACTAGGAGGAGCTTCAGGTAAAATGACATTGTGTACTCCTTAATGTCTTCTTCTTTCAAATGAACCCTGCTGCCCTTTAAGAAGATATCTCTTGGAAATTCTTCTCCTCAATGATAGTATCATGTCCAACATACTTATCTCCACTCCTTCAAATACATATCTCTGGAAACTTAGAATCCAATAACTACTTTCTTTATTAAGAATTTCATTCCATACCATCATAAGAATATCCCCCTGATATCATCTTCCTCTTAAATTGATCCAACTTCTTCCAAAACATCATCCCTCAGTTAATTTATAATGTATCTTTGGTTTCCTTCCCTCACATTGCCTCAATAGGCCCTTCATATTCACATTAACTTGGTCTGTTTGACATTCGAAACAGCAAGCCTATAGAATGAATTGTGCTGTCGATTCCAACATTGCTTTGATATGACGAAAGTGTAGGAAATCTGTAGTCTTATGCCTATGATCTCCTTTTCATGTTTGTCTTTATTTTATTTCCATATAGCCTTAGTTAAGAAACTGCTCCTATCATGTCATTTTCCCATGGTAGGAAGAAGAATTTTTGAGGTCAATTATATGAATGTAGGCCCAAGATGTTATATTCTTCTTTGTACCTCGTATGTGATAGTTGATAGGCTTTGCTCTTGATAACATGTGATTCATACATACTAATTAGTATATTCTAGATAAATGATGATAAGTTCATATTAAAACATGTGTCATTAGTCTTATTTAGGAAATATGAATTTTGTTTTAAATGCATGAAAACATTAGGAATTAGTCATTTTATACTAAATTATTCATGCATTTATTTATTAAATTATTCAGTTTATACAATATGTTTAGATGAATATTTTTTCGGAAATTTTGAGAATTTTTAGAGCACATTTGATCAGATTTTTGTTGGTTCAAACTTTGGAGTTTGCCCATGGATAAAACTAAAAAAAATAGAAAATAAATGGTAAAACCACCCATCCATGGAGGCAGCAGGGCCAGCCTATCCCAAGTAGGATTGGGCTAACTGGAGGATGAGTCATGGATTGTGGGGTGACGAAATAAAGCTAAGAAGACACCTTCAGGATTGTAAACTGCAAACGGCACCTTTAGTTTTGTCTTCAAATTTTGCATTCGAGGGTACTGCAAAGCCACCAGTTGATGCCGCTACTATCATTGGTTGGTCTCAATGAATCTGATTGCATAGATTTGTTTGATTTTAGCCATGTTGTGTGATAGCCCAACCGAGCATTTTTTTTGTTTTTCCTGAAACCTATTGTGCATAACTTTTGGGGCATATTTAGATTAGTGAATCTACTTTTTATCCACAATGTGATTAATTTTTTTTTAAAAATGCTCGAAATCAATGAAAATTGATTCCACAAAACCATCGATGGAACTCGATTGCATCCATTGTTCTTTGCAAGCTGATGTCATCTGATATCAGCTGATTACAAAGAAAAACTCATAGTAACTATTAACATTATCAAGAAAATATGAAATTTTATTATTGCTATGTTTGACCTAGAGAAATGCCAATAATATTATAAAATTATATTAAATAATATTTTAAAAAATTAATTCTTTAAATTCTAAAAAGGTTGTTATCTTATTTGTAAATTTAAATTTGCTAAGATTAATTAAAAACAATTGATCTACAATTAATTTTGGCATTTTTGGGGTCAATCTATTGATTTATTGTGAAAACCAGATTTTTCTTTAATAAAATATTATATATATATATATATATTAGGTTCTTGATTTTTGTGTTAGTGTTGAAGGAAAAATTTCAGGAGGGCAAGGGGTATTTGGAAAATCAAAAACTTAAATCTTGTGAGATTGAGATGAACCTTAAGAGGGATATGATTTAAAATATAATTGCTTGGCCTAGACTTGGGCTCTAAAGGAGAACTTTATTCCATTTGCATGTGAAGAATTATTTGAAACTCCTATATGTGTTAGGTACATTAAACATAATATAATTCCTATGATCCTAACATTTAATAGATAATAGAATGAAGATTCTTACAGTCACATTAAAGAATTTCAGAATATTTGCTCCACCATTAGACAAAAGGATGATTATATGATATTAGCCTTATTTCCATTCTCACTAAAATATGAGACTAGTTATTGGTGGTCCACACTTAGTATGACCAACAAAATATGGCCCAATCTCACTAAAACATTTTGACAATTATTAGATGGTGCTTGTGGAGGAATGTTTTTCGATAGAAATGAAGAGAAAACTTATGAGGTAATTGATACATTGAGTGAAAACTTTCTACACATGCCTACTTTGTTAATTATGATAGAAATTCATCTTATAGAGGAGGTGAATTTAGTGGAAGAAACCATGAAGAATCTGATTTAGTGAATAAGGTACACAAACTAGAGAAGCAATTAGAAGAGGTTGATAGTGAAATAAGTTCACCTTAACATCACATGTTCTTTTTCATGCGATCAATTTCATGATGAAGGTAGTTGTATGACACAATAATAACGTGAAAGATAAACAAAATCTAGGCTTGAATCCACAAAGCTCTAATCTTGAGGAAGAAATCAGCCTTTGAATCCATAGATTTAGAGTCATCAACCCTTGAATCCACAAGGAGATGCCTGAAATTACAAGCAAAAGGAAAAAGTTCAGATAGTAGAGAAATAAGGTTGGGCACTCCTCAAAAAAGGATCCTAATAGATTCTAGGGACAGTGACTAACTTTGAAATGACTTAAGACAGACGTTGATAGATTGAGAACTTGGCTCTTAAAATACTCTAACTCAAAAATGACGTAAAATAGACTCTAACAGGTAGATATACTGAACAGATTTTAGGTATAAACTCTAACAATTAGAGATCCTGAGCAGATCTTAGGTATAGATTGAAACTATATTAAAGTCCCTTTTAGAAGAAAAAAGATATAAAGTATCTTTTAGAAGTGAAAGGACATAAAGTAAAAAATAAATATTATTTTTCGGACCTCTAGATAACTAGTGACATATGTGGGCTCTTTTTTTATCACTTTTCACTTTGTGGCCCAAATTTAAGTTGAACTTCAACCTGTGTCTTGGGCTACATCACTTCACTAGATGCTAAACCCCCTTCCCTTTCTGGACTTGTCCTACTTAGGCGGGATGTGCCCACACCCACTTTCCTTGTTTGGATGTTGCACTATTTTACCAAAGGGCAGTTAAGGCATGTCTTAGAGGTGCTCACTTGTCTGCAATTAGTGTTCCCTACATTGGCCGCCCAACCTGTTAAGAATGAGCCATATATTCAGTGGTAATTCTGCCCACATCAGACATGCATGTGTCAGTCATGTGCCCATGTGCTGTACTTCTACTGCCTACCAGCCGTGTGCGTACGCTTGCTTTCATGCCACAAGCTCACACATGTGCACTTGTCACACATCCACTGTGCACGCTACTCTCTGCTGCTACTGTGCCGACACCATGGTTGCAACTAACTAGACCTACGAGGACCTTTCCCCATACTAGCAGTGCCCACCACTTGTTCTGCATGCATCTATGCACCTTCCATGAGCTGGAGCACATGTCTTTCACACCTGCATGTACTCCTTAGATGTACACCGAGGCCCTATTGTAGGACCTTCACTCGATGGGACTAAAGGTGTGACAATATAGACTGAAGTGAAAAAGACAAGATAAATCTTTCTGGGCACCAACTTTTAAATTTAAGAGATAAGAAAGACTAGATATGTCTTGCTGACCAAGGAAAGTTTGCCTAATGAATTGAATATCAAGTTCAAGTTTTATTATGTAGAGGAAATCTTTTCTCCAATGAATTGACTTTATTGAGTCAGCTCCCACTGGAGAGAAAATAATGATATTACTTTGACAAAAGTTAGAAATTTGATGTCAATAATATAACCTATTGAAAGCCAGTGAAGAGAAACTTTAAGCCCCTTTCAAGACCTTTAGAAAGCATTCAATAATGGTTATGAAAAAATATTAAGCGTTGAAGTCAACAAGGTCCTTTGTCGTTCCATATGTAAAAGCTTCACAAATAAGAAGTCAACGCCCTCAAATCATGAATTCATTTTATACTTTGATTTATTACAATACATAACTATGTAAGGTTATCATCAATCATTAGTTAGAATTAACAATGGTGAGTTATCTAAAGCCTTGAATCTAACAATGAACCACCTTTGGAACTAGATAGGAACTGAGAGAGAACCTTCCCGCTAGTATGAGAGAGAAGGAAGTGGATAGGAGCTGGGCCTAGACGTTTAGGCTCATGACCACAGGTTCAACGCAAAGTCAGCCTTGAGCAGAGGTCAAGCGCAGCCCAAAGGATACCTATTATTTGCCAATGTCACATATTCACAGATAGGTGAGTATTGAACAGCTTGAAGCCATAATTTTTGGGATTTTATGCATTCATAGCCTTTCCCAGCAACATTCTTAGCCCCACGCCATGGAACAAGCGTAGTTGACCACAAGTTTCCCATCGAATCCGAAATTCTGTGGATCAAAACAAAATAAGAATCAAGCCAGGGTGTAGCAACAAATTCAGGGAAATACCTACATTATCTCCCATTAAACCAAAGAATCTTGGGTTCAGAGCAGCCACCCCGGGTTGGGCCAAGCCTTTTAGAAACCCGTAATGGACCCTTATGGAACCTGAGTTGGGCTCAGATCAGGACCTTGGCAGGGCCGGGCATATTTTTCTTCCCAAAGTTAAGGAAAACATCTGGCCTATTAGCACCCATATGTGTAAGATGGCAATAAGCTTTCAGCTGTGGAAGTGATTCTAATGACAGACTCAGACCGGGGTTATTTAAGGTTTATTCAAACTGAGAGAAAAATAACTTACATTGTACAGATCTATCACGAACTCATCAGGGTTAGGCGAAAATGCACTATTTACATACACAAACTGCCATGCCAAAAGAGAGAGAAAATAAACGTTAATACAGTTATTGACATTTGACTGAAAATCACAGAAATCGTTGGTTACTTCTGGGAGAAATAGTCACCAGGGTGTCCCTGTGGAGCTGTCCACGGAGAAATTCGATGATTTTAACAAACTTGTCTGATCCAGCTACCTGCCATTTAAAGAATTTCTCGCTTTGTAAGTATAAAATGATTCGTTGGGCATTTTCTGAAAAAAAAATTTATGAATGGTAGCCCACCAAACATCTTGAGCTGATGAAAAACTCCAGTAATTCCATACATAGAAATCAATCCTCACAGTCAATAGAGTATCAGACCAGAAAAAAACACTCACCGTTTTCTAATGAATTAACTGACTTTCATAGGATATAAACACGACTATAATTGATTTTCAGGGGCACAACTAGGAATGACAATGGGCCATGCTGAGAAAGAGAGGGACTGAGCCTTCACTTAGGGAAAAAAAAGGGGACTGGAGCAGACCAGGCTCTAGTTTTATGTGGGTGGTCAGTACCCGAAGGTAACTACACCATTATCAATATAAATCAAGTCTTGATGTTGATGCCTACTCACATTTCAGATATAAGATTCGAGAAAAAAAAAGGATAGTATGAGAACACTATTTAACTTATTTACTTTTAATGAAGAAATTGACTGTGATCAGTGGCTTCATCTTGGGCTTTTGTTTCGTCCACAGGAAACTGAAAGTATTTTCCCATATCCGATACAATAGATCATATAAAAATAAAAATAAGAATTCTCACGAAAAAGGGATCGATTATTGCCAAACTTTCAATCAAAGAAGCTCTAGTCTGCCTTCCACATTTGAACCAAGTGGCTTGTGCTGAGAACAACTCCACCGTCAAATATGAATCAGAGTAGCTGCGATTTAGGGAAGTGGAGGGAGATACACTCTAAATGAGAATGGAATAAAGCTTCCATGTTGCTTGTGAAAAATGTCAACTGATCCACAGGCACGGACGAATTATAGTGATTTTTTCTAGTCCAAGACATAAATAGAGATTTAATCTTCCACATCCCAAGCCAATACCCTGGTAAATAACTGAACATTCTTTTTAATATCAAATTGTGAAATCTTCATGCAGATTAGCATGTTGTTCCATCGAATCATATATATTCGATCACCATTCATCCAACAAGAATCTTAGATCTTTTTCTTCCTGGAGTCAGCAATTTATAAAGACCACATACTGATTTGAAATTAAATTGAATTGTCTGTCAGACTAATGAATTGGTTTGATCCGGTTGGAGCGACAATGATTTGCGATATGATCGATCATAATAGATCTATGATCTAGAAAATGATCTACCAAGTGAATGGACGGAACACATAACAATGCTTATTGATCAGGATCCCAGCGGTGGACAAGAATTTTGTTAGTTAATTAGGGATCAAGTGAGTCAATGTTCCACCGGAAAAGGCGTCCAATTCGAAAAATTTGAGCACAAAAAAATCTCAGTAAGAACCTGACGAAAGGTTGCTCAAAAACTTATAAATCCAATAAGGAAAACAAGGCTAATCCAAGGAATGACAGATTTTGCTGGCCTTACAAAGGTCCTTCAAAAATTAAAAAAGAATATTTCTGTTTATTATCATGCCTTTGATACTTGAGCTCTTACTGTTTAGGGCATCGATCATATATCCTCGAGGGTTATCCTTCACAATGATCATCAACGAGTAGAGTGCGGGGATGAACGGGACGAAGAATAATCACCTTGAACTTGTTCTGTTTGAGAATGGGAGCGTCTCCAGTCGCCCTCAGATGAATCACCACTTCCCATTGTGGAAATAATATTTCAGACAAGAAGAAGAAATACATCAGAAGACGAACTGGTTGCAATCGGAAACGAGAAGTCAGAATCAATCACACTTTTTCACCTTTTCTGGAGGAAATTGGAGATCCTACAGCTGTCCCAGAGGCCATCCGAAAAGAGGAGAAAGCTGATATCCTCTCCTTCCTCGCCGGAATCCACCTCCAAGTCTCCCCTTCCCTCCCCTCTTCCCCGCTCCTCCGCCGAGTCCAACAGAAGAAGCAACAGACCCGTCTGGGGCATCCCAAATCGGATCTACTCCTCTACATGTTAAAAGGATCCGAAATGTCTACCTCTACAAGCATAAACAAAATACCTAGCCTGTTATATAAATTATATACAAGCCCAAAAAAACCAGAGAGGCTCACAGCTCCTTCCTCCCTCCCTCCCTCCGGCAGTCGGTCGAGCTCCACTCCGCCGCCGCGATGCCGGTGAAATGGTGAGTCCAACGGTGGTGGTGGTGGTGGTGTTATACTCTTGATTTTATCTCATATTTCTGCTGATCTGTTGTCTGGCTTCCTCCGGGCTGTGGCGGATGGCCTAGGGTTTTGCCGTGGCAGCCGAACCCTGGGATGACAGTGAACAGCCAGATCCTCTCTGAGGTGTCTCAGTGCGCGGAGAGCCTCGGCGGGGTGAAGGGGGGGCGGTGGAAGTCGACGCTGACCTTCTACCGGCCCATGGTGAGGGACCTGACGGTCCCTACGGACTGCCCCAAGGACTTCCTCGGCCTGGCCCTGCAGGACCGTCCGGACCGGTACTACTTCATCGTCCGCGGCCGGATCGTCGTGGAGGCCGATTCCGCCATGCTCGCCATCATGGACAAGCTCCAGTCCTACAAAGCCCGCGTCTCCCTCAATTTCGAGGTCTGCGACAATTTCTAGGTCCCAGAAGGTGTCAACACGATTTAACTTTTCTTCACAGATTTGAAGCTCATCTTCTTACCATGTTTTTTTTTTCTTTATGTCCGTGAAGGGATTACAGTACCAGGTCGGCGATTTCCTGCTGCGGGTGGGGAAGGTCATCCCGGCCAACTCGGAGAACCTGAGAGGAATCATGATGGAGGTGAGATGGCATCGTCTTTATCCTCTGATTTCCTTGTTTCCTTCACCTTCACCAATATGTCGAACTTAGAGCAAAAAATAAAAAAACTGTAGATCAAATGTGCTGCCGTTTGCTGTGGTTTGCTCTGGTAGATCAGCTGTTTCCACTCGTTGCCACACAGTGTTGATCCGCAGACGTTTTGAAAACAGATGCTTGAAGGAATTTACCTGCCTTAACGATTGTTCTACAGATGAACACATTCAATGAATGCCATGCTTTGATTATAAAAGTAAAACGTCGACCCATGATGCGGATTGACATCGTCGTCCTTTTACTACCAGTTCATCATATTTTATTTTGAGTTCTCTCTCTCTCTCTCTCTCTCTCTCTCGCTCTCGATTCTCTTGAGTATTGTTAAGAATGGACGTAAATAGTCAATCAGATCTGATCAGAGAGAAGATCGGCAGCCATTTACCTATTGGGCATGCTGATTGCCGAGAAACAAAACCCACGAGGCTGCTGATTCTGGATGGCCTCCCCAATTCTCTTTCAAATCTTTGAAGGTTTAATCAGCCTATCCATCTGCCCGCAAGTAGAAACTATCAACTGGGTTGGATTCTGAACTCTGAATTCGGACAAAACCTATCAAACTCTGAAGATTGAGACTTTCTCCAAAACCTTAGAGATTTCGCTCATCATTCCTCCTGTCTGGGCTCACTCTGAATCTGAATAGCAGGTAATCACCAAGCTCCACTGCCTAATCAAACTTTGAAGATCTAATAAACAAAATCTTCATGTCTGAATGTAGAAACTATCAATTGGGTTTAGTAAAAAAATTTAAGATCGAACTTTATCCGAGCATTTGATGTTCTAATAATAATAATAATAATAGTAATAATCCTGTCTGAAGGTTGAATCTGAGTGTTGAGTCCAGGGTTCTGACAGCCCTGGGCGGGCTTCTTGCTTGCCTCAGGTTGAGTACCTCCCAATTTCCTCATTGGAGACGTCTAGGCAGATCATGGATGACTTTGTTGACCTCTGGCGGGAGGCTCTCTCAAGGCGGTCCCTCCCGGGCCATTTCCTGCACCTGGAGCCCAACTTTGCCGAGTATGGCCTCTCCAACAACTACTCCCCCCAGCACACCACCGTCCAGTATGCCGCTGTCGTAGCCCAGCTCATCGCCACAATCCGGAGCTAGCCTCCGATGGGCATCTGCATCTGGTAACCAATCTTATCTATCTTCTTGAATCCCAGTTTTCAGCTTAATTTGGTAATGTGGTGGGCTCATGCTATTATCTATCATCTCTTGACCTGTTTGTTGTGGGATGATATGAATCATACTTGCCATTTAATATCCAAATCCTGGCGTGTAGAGTTGTGAGATGATTTCACATGAACAGAAATATCTATCACTTCGATTTAATTCGATATATATATATATATATCATATTAGTCTAAATTTCTCTTACATTCGTGGATGAAACATCCAGCATTTGACTTCTCCATGCTAAGTTGACTGCATGTATCATGGGGAGAAAAATCCAAACTCTTTTTGTTTCTAATTCTTTTTCCTTTATAACCGACATGGGGGTTCTCTACAGCAGCGCCTTCAGCTGCTCTACGTCTCTGTCCGGCAGCTCGGCCCTACTTCCTTCCGTGGGGTCCACGTGGGTCAGGTATGAGTCCGCAATGATCTTCCCCTTGTCCAGCACTGCAGCTGGGACAGTCTCCAGCAGGCTACAACCAGAAGAGAAGAGCTTTAGATCTAGAGAGAGAGAGAGAGAGAGAGAGAGAGAAGGGCCAGATGTTGGGCCAGATTTTTCATATTCAAGTTGTAATATCCATGATGGGAAAAATGAGAACTCACTTGTCCAATGCGACTAGAGCCGTGTTTATTTTCTGCCTCATCACTCCAACAGAGGCAGAGGAATCATTCCTTGAGGCATGGAGTAGCAGTGAGTCGAGATCTTCCAGCGCCCTGAATAAATCGAAGAGCTTCTTAGTCAAATAAAATAAGCCCTGAAGAAGAAGAGGGGGGCTTTGGAGGTTGACCCGGTGGAGAAGGGCTCCAGAATAGGAAGATCTCACCTGAGGCACTGGTCAACAGCATCGGTCGCTGCCTTGCCCTTACCATCCTCTGATGCGTACTGGGCCATCTGTTATAATTCCGAAGAAAATTCAGCTACATAAATACTGAGCCTCTTTTCTTTTCCCCTTTATTTCTACCCTGCCAATACCTTTCCATGGTAGATGTTTTTCAGTGATGTGGTTGATCTTGGAGAACTGTCTGGGTAAAAACAATGAGAAGAATTGCAGAGAGGAAACTGGGGAGAGAGGGAGAAATGGGAGATAGAGAGATGAGGGGAAAGGAGATCAGGACGAATCTGATGTAGGGAGAGAGGGAGGAAGAGAGATGAGGAATGAGGAAGAGAAAAGGAGATGGGAGGGAGAGGGCGATTAATATGGACAAGAAAGAACAGATTGCATGTGATGGGAGAGGAGGAAAAACAAGTTGTAATCTCTATTTGCTCTACGTGCCGTCTTTCCCAAATTTCAGCCAAACCCAGCAAAATATGAATGGCTTTTGATGGAATGCTATATAAGGAAAGGAAAAACAATCATAGAAATCTAAGAGAAGAAGGCATACCGCACGAATATTTATGCGCAGAGACGCTGCAGGGCCAGAACGCAGCAGAGATCTGGTGATATCATATTCTGGCTTCTCAAGATCCAAGGATGTCTCTGCGCACGTTTGAAGATTTAGAATAGCTCGAACTTTCTTAGGCATCGAAGGAAAATGCTCTTTCGAGTTCAAGCATGTTTATCATAAAAAATCCGGGAAAGAATGATAGTTTTTCTGAACTGTCACGGGTTGACGAATAAAGAGTTTGAAAAAATCTCGCATTGAAAAGTGAAACATATGGAAATTATAGATAAAATAGTGGATTAATCCGATAGATCTTATGCCATGAAGTTTTCTTTTTAAGTTAATGATGACCAAGCAAGATAAATATGTTAAATGAAACTGAATCCTCAAAGGAAACATAATAAGTGGGAGAACGAAAAAAATATTCCAGGGAAAGTACTAGTGAAAGATTGATAGTTTTTATTAACTGATGGAGAGCTTGAAAATGATATTCTTAAAAACTTTGTAGCCAGAAAACCCTGCTGTTGAATATGAATCATATAGAAGAAATCCAAGATAAAATGGAAATTTTATCAGATAGAATCCCAATAAGTTGTTCATTTTAACAATGAAACGAGATAAATCTGTTGAATTAAACCAAATTAAACTTCGCTGGCAACATAATAAATAGGCAAGAGAAACGGGCATTGGTCCCCAGCGCATCAAATCACAACTATCTGGCAACAGGAATAAACCTGACAAAAGATACTCCTAACAAAGGGCCAATAGTGAGCCATTTTCTGCTCTTGGGATTTTCATAAATAAACAAGGGGAGATAATCTGTTCCAGATTCATGTCTGTCCACCCATATTTAGTCCAATTGCCAAAACAGAAGTTGATCTGAAACGACAGAATGGATGAACGTACATCAATGGCATAGGTTCATCAAATGATTTTTGTTTATTTCCATGCTTCGTCACCCGAAATAAATGACTATATAATTCATAATCTTATTCGTTAACCGTAGCCTTGTTTAAATTTCTAAAGTTTATGAATACAAAGATGAATTGCAGAGGAAGTAAGAGGACATTACCCAAGTATTTGAACTGTGCCTGCGTCAAGATAACAGCAGGTACGTATGTCTCCAATGGATCAAGCTTTTTTCTGGTAGAAAGTTGGCATGAACAAACAGCAACCAAAAATAATCAATGACCAGGGGCAAGAACAGCCAAAATTGCATCGCATAAATTACTGGCTTCTCATGATGATGCACTAGAACTCATCAAAAAGCTAGGAAACGTGAATTCAACTAGACATACTGTGGTCCATATTAAGAGAGCTTACAAGCTAATCGCATCAGAGCAGGGGATTCGACTCAGTTTGATAATAAAAAATTGAGTTATTTGAATTAAAAAAATCTACTCAAAATCAATCAAAAGGTACCCAAAAAATGCAACATTGTTTACAGGAAAATGGAAGGAAGAAGACAATAAATCATCACTGTTCAGGAAAAGATTAGGCAGTGAATATTACATTATTGTGTGCACACCCACCCGTTAATATAAACGCCAACATTCATGTAAAAGAGAAAAAAAATGCATGCATTGGATTTTGAATTTCTAGTGGCCAATAGCCTATGTAGCTGGGCATGCGAGGAGAAGTAAATCGATGAGAACTTATAATGTCAATATCAGGGACTTTAAGATGCCATATTGATTTTTCATATGAGCAAGCTTTGAGTGAGGAAAACGCTTTTCCAAGCTGGGTATGATTCACGCAGCCTATTAAAACACCCACTGACGCTATATTAAACCAATACCACAATATTTAGAAGAAAAGCGAGGGGGCGAACAATTGTACAACCAACACATTCAAAAAAATTTCTTTATTCGTTGCATAAGGAGGAGAAAAACCTCACCTCTTTACGTACTTGTCGAAGGGACTACCGGCATCGGCACCTGCAGGAAAAATAGGCCATAAATCACCAATCGGCTTCCGAAATCATCCGCCATTCCGTAGCACTATGAAGAAAGATAGAGGAGCCAACGGCTGACGGAGGAGAAGTAGTAATGGAAGACGATGAGCGCTGCGGCCGCGGCTCTCCTGCTCATGAGCTTGCTCGACTGAAGAGGTAGAGGCGGTGCTGCCGCCGGAGGCGACGAGCAGCACCTCACCCGGCTCCGCGACCTCTTTCCTCCGTTGAACCGCCGGTCAGGATGCTGGTAACTCGGGCATCCGGCGGCGACGGCCGTGTGGTTGGTCAGCAGCGCCGGGACCATTGTGTTGTCGCCTTCTTCCCCTTCTCGGAGAGATGGAAGAGGAAGATGGCCAGGAACATACATGTGTCATCTGTTGAAGGCGGTCTGATGGTCACCAGCCCACATTTAACAAACTTGCGTCAGATGACGTGGACTCCTCGAGGCCGCAAGAATATCCATCTGTGCACGATGACTTGCCACGTGTCGCGTTGGCCCTGGAAGACCACTGTAGCCTTCCGTCCGGTCTGAAAATTTTCAAGTCCGAAAAACCCGGTTATTAATGGGCTGACCCCATAATCCGGAGTTCGGGCCCATAAAACCTCACCACCCATCTTTTCTTTAACTGAATGTCCTCTCTCCTCTCCCTCTCTCTCCATTTCGCTTCTTTCTTTCTCTCTCTCTCTCTCTCTCTCTCCCTTCTTCCAGGGCCAGGCCGAGGCATCGACGAACGGGAATACTTACAGTGATCGACATTCATGTTGATTCTGTGAGATTAGATTGTAAGCTGCAGCTTTAATTTGTCTAACGTATGACATGCAAGGGAACAACTGTAGAGAATAAGGTCCAGAAGAAAACAAGCACGGTACAGGGGCCTTTCCGACCATGCCCGTAATTTTGCAGCCGAAAGAGTTCACGACTGTAAAGAGACGGACACAGAAATATATATATATATATATAGCGAGAGAGAGAGAAAGAGAGAGAGAGAGAGAGAGAGAGAGAGAGACCCGGTGCAAGGAACTGAATTTTAGGAGGGAGAGGCCGTTAAGAAGAGGCCGATACATAGAGAGTTGGAGCGAAAGAGGAGCCGGTATCAGGAGCCTGATGGGGGGAGAGAGAGAGAGAGTTAGGAGGCAAGGGTTGTCTTGCACTTGAGGACGAAAGCGAGGAGGAAGAGGAGAGAGAGGATCCCGCCTGAGGAGCCGCCGAAGCGGTGGATCCAGTAGGGGTCAAACCTCCCGCGACGGCCATCGAGCAAGCTGGCGAACCCGATTGCCACGACGATCGCCACCAGCAGCAGTGGCGGCAGCAGCCACGAGAGCTCCCCCTCCTCCCTTTCCTCCTCCGCCTCGCCGCCGGCCGGCGAGCGGCCCACGTACAGTGGCGACGCCACGGCCAGCGCCGTCAATCCGAGCGCAACCAACCTGTCCGTCGACGACGCGCCACCTCTCTCCATGCTCGCCCACTGGCGCCGCTGCCTCCGAAGGCCTTTTGAGCCCTCTCGGGTCGTCGGTGGAATCGAAGGCGGCTCGGTCACCTCCTCCCCCAGCTCAGCTCTGGAATCGGATGCCTCCTGTTAGTGGAAACCAGGGCCGAGACCTTCCACAATGTCATCTTTTTATTCCAACGGAGATGGATTCAATGGAGGAGAGGAAATAGCGAGAGAGAGAGAGAGAGAGAGAGAGAGAGAGAGAGATTCCTCCACGAGCCGGTCGTGGAGAGGCTCATAAATAGGATTCGAATGCGTGTCATCACGACGGCCGGTCTTATGCCGTTACCCAATAAAGTGACCTTATTGGGCCGGGCCATTTTCGGCCCTTTTTGTTTTCCAGTCTTCAACCACAAAACCGGAATCAATGGGCCCCGCCCAGTACGAACAATTGTTTTTGGCTGCAGATTATTAGCCTTAAACGGAACAGGGCAGATGAGCGAAGAATATTCTGAGCATATCTGTCGCATCTTCAACAGGGGGGATAAATGATAAGATTCTGAGTGGCTTGTGGAGTTCTTGATCAATCATTTGTTTTGCGGCGATCTAAAACTAGAAAATTCTCCGTAACTTTCAACTGATATCAATTGGATGAACATAATCGAATGCGTCTCCTGAAGTTTCTCTTTCACAGGTAATTCATTAAAAATAGCAGAATTATGAATGAAGGAGGTGTTCCGGCAATTTTTGCTCAGTAGACGTTTTCTTTTTATGTTCGAATAAAGTAATTTATTGGATGCTCATAAGATTCATCCGCATGCCAGCGTATGCCGGATGGATGAATTGACTTCGTCGCTGACGAAATGTTCGCATAACACACGATAGATTTCTTGTGGAAGAACATTTCAACAGATGCAGCATTGCTAATTACAAACCGTGGACGAAGATTGAGGAAACATACCCGAATCGATCTCCGATCCGCTCTCTGATCTTCTACCTCCTCACCTTCCCTTGACCGCCGCCGTTGCGCATCTGCCCCTCGTCATGTCCGTAAAGCCCCTGGTCACATTCCCGATGGCCTGGACGACAGGCGGTGAGATGATCCTCCGATTTTCGTGGAAACGGGAGAATATCCATGAACCGAATCGATCCTCAGATAAAAACGAGAAGGAATAGGGAAAAGCGGCGAGATCGAGCCACCTTTTTGAGATCAAACGGGCGGATCTCCCCGGAGGAGCCTTCGCGGCCGGCGCCTTCGTCCCCGGCGGCGTCGATCGGGTGAATAGCAGGCGATCTCGCCGACTTCCAGGCTAGGTATCCGGCGAATGCTACCGAGAAGAAGATGAGGATGATGCGCAGCGGACACATCTCTTCTTCCCCGTTTCCTTCCGCTGGCGATCCCCAATGATCACCTCCTCTTCCCCCCCGCAGGTGAACAATCTCCGGCCGACAACTTCCACCACCGAATTTAGCAGGAGACGGTTTCCGCGCCTGATCCGGAATCGATTTTTACGCAGCTACTTGGTTCAAGGATTGAGGGAATCTCCCCATTGTCCGGGATTCTCCATGATTCCCCACAACTCAGTTACCCCAAAACCGCCTGTTTGGAAAACAGCGAATTCGCAGGATTCTGGCTTCGGCTGTGGTCCCCGCTTCTTTCGCGTGGCTCTATGGGAACCAGCCACGTGGCTACCCATTTGTAAATGCAAGCGACGGTTCCCACGCTCATTCCGGAGTCGATTTACCCAGCTGTTTAGTTCAAGGCTTGAGGGAATCGCCCCATTGTCTGGGATTCTCCATGATTCCGCACAAAATTTTCCCCAAAGAAAGCTAATTCGGCTTCGGCGGTGGTGGTCCACTTTCCATCTCGCACGTGGCTATATATCAATCATCCACGTGACCCCCATTTCAAAATCTGTACTTTTTTTTTTCTTAAATACGCTTATGAATTATGGCGGGGTTATTGTCTTCACCAGACTGTGACCGGGTTTCTTCTGCATCGCCGCCTGCTTCATCGTCTTCCTCAGCTTCTCAGCGTCCTCCCACCGGCCAGCCTCTGCGTATACACTCGCCAGGAGGACGTAGCCGGTGACGCACCGTGGATCCAGCCGGAGCAGCCGCTCCGTTGCCGTCTCTGCCATCGATAGGTCCCCGTGGACTCTGCAGCCGCCGAGAAGAGCCGCCCACACGCCGGTATCTGGTCTGATCGGCATCTCCTCTATGAATGCGTAAGCTTCTGGTAAGCTGCCGGCACGAGAGAGGAGGTCAACCATGCAAGCGTAGTGCTCGAGAGAAGGCGTCAACGAGAAGTCCCTCTTCATGCTGTTGAAAATCTCCCTCCCTTCGACGGCGAGTCCCGAATGGCTACACGCCGACAGGACGGAGAGAAAAGTCAACCGGTTTGGCGGCGGCCCCTCTGATTTCATCCTCGAGAAGAGCTTCAGGGATTCTTCTCCTCTGCCGTGGGTGGCATACGCGCTGATCATAGCACTCCATGAGACCACGCTTCTCTGGGGTAATTCATCGAACACCTCCCTAGCAGCTTCTAAGCTTCCACATTTGGCATACATGTCAATAAGAGCATTTCCGATAGATGGGTTGTTCAGGAGACCTCTCTTCCTTACAACCCTGTGGAGGCATCTCCCGACATCGAGAGATACAGAGCTGGCGCAGGCCGAGATGACGCTAACCAGGGTTATGTAGTCAAAGTCAACCCTCTCCGTCAGCATCCTTCTGAAGATCTCGATCGCCATCTTCCCTTCACGATTCCTCTGGTAAGCTGCTATTATGGCGTTCCAACTCACCACCGTTCTGTCCCGCATTCTTCCGAATAACTGTCGCGCGATATCTAGTTGCCCGCACTTTCCATACGCAGCGATGAGAGCATTCCCTACTGCGTTGAAGGAACCGAACCCGGATTTAATGGCGTACCCGTGAATCTCTTCCGCAGATCTGACAACGGGGAGGACGCTGGTGACGGCGACCTCGTTGGGCCGCACGCCGGCGGCGGCCATCCGCCGGAAGGCTCCCGCCGCCTTCTCACAGGCACCGTTCTGCGCATAACCCGCCACCATCGCCGTCCAGGAGACCAGATTCTTCAGAACCGTCTCACGGAAAACCAGTTCTGCTTCTGCGAGCTCCCCGTTCTGGGCGTACATGGCGAGCAACGCGCTCTGGAAGTGCATATCGGAGGAGAGCCCGTGCTTGACGGCGTCGCAGTGGGCCTGCCGGCCGGCGGAGATGGCGGAGACGACGGTGCAGGAGCGCACCACCGGGGGGAACGTAAACCGGTCCGGTGGCGCTCTGCTGTGCCGCATCTCGCGAAACAGAAGGAGGGCTCCCTCGCAGGGCCCTGCGTCGGCGTAGGCGCGGAGGATGGTGCCCCATGCGTGGGAATCTCTGTGCGGCATTTCGTCGAACATCTGCCGTGCGTAGATGGCCGTGGGGCAGACCCATGCTGCCACAGCGATAAACTTGGTGGCAAGTCGAACGCTGTGAGGCAGGAGGCCGTAGGCGATGGCCCGACAGTGCAGCACCCGTAGGCCTGTGACGGTGGTGCAAGTGTTCAGCGCCTGGTTGAAATGCATGGAGAAGGGGATTGGTTGCTCTGTGACATTGTTTCCCTTTCCCCCGAGGGAGGGATATATATTGGCATTTCACAGTTATTTTTTATTTAAGGTTTTATTTTATATTTTCGGTTAAGAAGAAAATTCGGGTACGTAAACGCTGTGGAAGAGTGATATTTTTTTCAAAACAGCTGCTGTCACAGAGGAGGTTAGTGACCGGGGAGAGCCAAAACGCACATACATGATCAGCCTTCCATGTCCTGCTTGGGCAACTCCCCATACTTGACCCTCATCTTCTCCTCGAGCTCCCTCGCCTTGACCTCTCCCATGGCAGCGGCGTTGGCCATGGACTCCTCCTGCACACGCGCCATCCGCCGGCTGCGCCGCCACGCCGCTCTCTCCCTCTCCTCTGCCGCCCCCTCGTAATCCCTCAGCCAGCAGATCTGCACGGCGCAGGAGAGGATCAGCGCCGCCGACTGAACAACGAACATCAAGATCAGCGCCGCCGCCTCCAGCCGGAGAAGAAACCGGGCCTCTCGCGGGCTCCGCTGCGAGGCCACCATGGAAATGCTCCGCTCTTCCCGGAGCAGCAGCGCCATGACGGCGGTGGCCTGGCCGAGGGAGGCGGCCACTACGAGTGCGACGTGACCGGCGGAGCAGCAGCGGCAGAGCAAGGCGCTGCAGAAGCCCAGGAAGGAGGAGAGGAGAGTGGCGGCGGAGACGGTCACCAGGGCCCATCCGAACGGCGACGGCGGTCGCCGGAGGAGGAGGAGGGGGACGAGGGAGGCGGCGGCGAGGAGGAAGAGGACAACATTCAGGGAGGAGAGGAGGAGGTTGAGGAAGCAGGAGGAGCTTCTGAGCTTGGAGGACGACATTGGAAACGTCTCTACGTCTTCGTTCCCCGGAGACCGATTAGTCGGCCGACGTGGGAATTCTTATAAGGGGGAAGCTTTTGACCGTTGCAGCGGCGGAACGGGTATCAGTCTTGTGGGCCCCTACATCCTTTGGCTTTTTCTTATTGGGCTTTTCTTTTGCTTTGGGCCTGTCTTTTCTTTCGGGCTGCTTTACTGGGGTACCGAGTTGAGATTTTGGAAAGCCCGCGCGCCAAACCCCATTTTATAGCGGACCTATGTGCGGCGGTGGGCCCGAGCTTCACTTGACGCCAATAAGCAGCTGATGTGACCTCGACCCCACTAAAGTGGGCCCAAGAGAGGCCTTTTCTTGACAAGTAAAAGGGCATATCTGTAATTTATCATGTTTTTTAAATTATAAAGTTTATGGGTCAAAGGAGCTATATGGCATAGAAATTATATTCAAAGATACGTACTGCTGAATCAGATAGGAGCAGCTTACACCGCCCCAAACGCAAGTAGATAAACATGTAGAGATATTTCTGGCATTATTTTTATTTATGTTGACCTAAATTATCAAATTGAAATCAGTTATTTTAATTAATATGCAATAATACGTCTTAAGGATTGGGTGATTTATTTTCTATCATGTTACGTCTTTTATAAATAAAAGTTAGCTATTTTTTTATTTTAAACTATTTTACAAGGATATATTTTTTTTATAATCAGTTTTTTCATTTGAAATATTTAATTTAAGTGCATTTAAAATATAATTTTAAAAAATTGAGAAAAGGCGATTCTTTTTAAAGAACGGTAAGAATGAATATCCATGTGTGGCGTTTTAATATTACTTGCTACTTTATTTTTTATTATAAAAATTATAAAAATGGCAGAAATCGCATGAAACAAACGGGTAAAGTTGACATTTAGTGGGGAAGTTGACAGCCATAGATGAATTTGGGCCTTTGTTCCACTGACGGATCTCAGATTTCATTGGGGGAGTTGGACTGGGCCTTTAATGGGCCTTGATCCAGTTGACGCAACCACGCCACGTGTCTTTTCGGGGGCGGCCGGAGGGGAGAGGGGTGTGCCGCGGTGCGAAGGAATCTCCACTCACATCGCTAGTCTGGTTAACGCCGTGCACCTTATCCGGCGATCGCCGCCGGCCGCCTTGGTCTCCCTTCCCTCCCCCGCCGCATGCGATGGCGTCGCCCAGTCTCAGTCCCGCCGGCGACGGCATCATCCGTGGCGACGCTGGCCGTGAGGAGCCGCCGTCCCTGGAGGACCTATACCACATCAATGTCTTCCCCTCCGAGCTCTTCCTCAAGTTCCGCAAGGAAGTTCAAGGGATCCGCCTCGGTCTCAACCTGGAGGTATAATGCAGCTGGAATCGAACTTCATGCTGTGCTACGGCATATGTTATTTCCTGGATCATTCGTTCATCTAATTGTAGATGAGGTTGTAGCTTATTCTCTCCTGAAGAGTACGGATTCTTTTTATTTTTATTTTCTGATTGTCATTATTTTACTTCTCACCAGTTTTATAATTATGAAGGCAACGACTACGAGGCGAAAATGGTTTTGAAACCTCTAGGACCTGACAGGAGGTGGAAATTCATCTATGAACCCATCCGGGGGGATCTGCGGGTTCTTTCAAAGAAGATTCCGATAACTAGGTATCTTAATCTGCAGGTACGGGGCCTAGATTAAGCATCCAACTTCTGGGTCATGTATTCTTGCCTCGTCTAACGAAATGATAGACACCATCATGAGTTAGGCTGATGATTTGAAGCATGTATTTTCTTGTAATTATATAGACATCTAGCATGCCTTTAAAACCAAGTATATATTTGAGAAATCATTTTCCGATTCATTATTTTACAGCGTGCTCCTCATAGACCACATTCGGCTGGCGCTTCCAAGTTTCCCAGTTATTCCATTTATTTGCCTGAACGTTGTTTACGCGAGCACCAAAAGTTCTGTGAAACTAATTCTATTAAATATCGGTGCTCCGTTAGGCTTCTTCACTTTTTTTAAATTTTTATATCAGGGTCTTATACGTGACCCTATTCAATTATCAGTGATTCCCATATTTCACTTTTAAGTGCTTTCTTTCTTTTGAAGTTTTTTTGGAGCATCGTGGCATTTTTGTGTCTTGTGAAATGATTTTCCATCTATTTCTCGCGGTAGAACGCTTGATATTTATTCGGATACATAATGCCAAAGCTCCTAATGTCGCATCACCTCACAACAACTATTCGTGTCCCTTGTTTCTGAGATTGTCAATATTTCAGTATTTGCTTCCTCACGAATACTCTTCTTCAGGCATCCCTTTCTGTGACCTTTCTTCTTTATTTAAATCCCACTTTGCTATGGAAGAAGAGCTCTATTATCCCCATCTTGACTAGGCAAATTCCTCTCTTATATCTGTTGCTGACTCTGCCTCGATTTAAGAGCTTCGTGCTATGTTTTTATGACTACTACCATTCCAAAAGAAGGCACAGAAAATGGCATGCAGTTGACACTGTAGCACTGCTAGTGTCTGTTCTATGCTTAGTTTTGGAATTCTCTGCTCTTCTGTACCCCGTCTGGTAGCTTCTGGTTTCTCAAAAAGCATGGTTACATTCATGGGAATTGTGATTCTTTATTTACATCTGACGGAGAAGCTGGAGTATTTAATGAGAAATGTTGAATATTGACAGTCCAGTACTTCTGTAACCACTTTCTGGTTATGTTCTGATTCCTACTCCAAAAATTTACATTTGGCTTTAATGATCGTTGATGTGTCAATCTTCAGGTATTTTAACGATGTATTATCTTTAAAACATGATTTTCTCCCATGATGCGTCTCCCAACTTGCTGGGATTCTATTCGATCACTTTGGAATCCGTGATTATATTCCGTGTGATGTTCATTCATTTTTAATGAAAAGAATAGAAAGGAAAAGTCTAGCTTTAGCAACTCATCTTTCTGTCCTGAACACTTTTGCCACTCTGTTGGAGGTCTCCCAAATCAAACTTTAGAAGCTTAACGTCGTTTTGGGCTTGCATACGTTTTCAAGTTCCATAACAACTGACAATACAAACCTACCCTTTAATAAAAGCTGATTCAAGTGCTTCAAAAATCTCTCTTTCATTATCTCGCTATCCGATTTTGGCCTGTTGGCGGACATGAGACAGTTCAATGGCCTCAAAGTACATAATCATAACATCCTTACAAAGGTTATACTTTAAATACATGATTATAGGGTAAATTGTACATGATTGATGTCAGAGCGTAATGTAAGAAATCTATTTTTTTGAAATGCCCCTATTCAATTAACAAGATTCATTCTTTGTAGAGTATGCATCTGTGAGAATAAGATGTAGCATGATCTGGTAATTCATTCTGGTACTTCATAGCTGGAAATAATCGATCTATCTCTTCAAACATGTACCTCGAAATCGAAACTTCAATGGTTCAGGACGGAAAGGATATATTTCGGTGGCAACATATATTATCGTAATGTTAACCTTTCTGTCTCTGTGTTGATGATTCATCATACATTAATTGACAAGATTGATAGTTATATAAAATGACCTAAATATTCCCTGGAGACTATATAAAAAACCCAATTACTTTCGCATTGCCTGTGCTTCTACTTTTTTATGAAATTTGGTGATAAGAACGGAAGTTAGATTGAATGGTCAGTATGAAGTCACTGCCAAGGTTGATTGTTCATGTAAATTTCTCAGGTTGGCGTGGGACATAATTACCATCTCAATGCCATTGGATGGAAATGGAAACTTTCTACCAGTCTAGGTGGAGATGGCGTCTCACAAATCCGAAACAAAACATCTATTGGTTTATTTCCAGGATTTGATTTGCGGATTGGTTGGAAGGCGGAGTACATCCTTCCTGAGATCAATGGGTACGTTGCCAAAATCCGCAGCCTAATTAAGAGGATCATATGAAGAATATGCCGCATAATAAAACATGCTGTTTTCTAAACTCTCTGTGGGTTTAAGAATATATTTCATTGAGTTTTATTCATTGTTGACTTTTTCTTTAATTCCATATCCGACTAATTTATCTCTTCTATCTTGTTGGTTTTCTAGCCTGCTATTATCTGAATTTTTTTAACCTAGATTACATAATAAGAAATGCTCTTTTCTAAATTTTCTATGCTTTCAAGCATTTATTTCTCGTATTTTCTTCCTTGTTACATTTATTTTTAATCATATATCCGACGCTTGAACTTTTCTAATCTTCTGCGTTCCTGTTTTGGTTCTATGGTTCGCTATTATCTTACAACTTTCACCTATATACCAACATAAACCATGACATGCGGTTTTCTAAATTGTCTACGCTTTTTAGCTTTTATTTTATTGTTTTTTATTCATTATGGAATTCGGTTTCTAATAATATACCCGACTAATGAATTCCCTTTGATTTAATTTCTTCATGATTTCGTGATTCCCTTTGATTTTGGTTTTGAATTTTTTTTCCTACATTACATAATAAAGCATGCTCTTCCATAAATTCTCTACATTTTCAGGCATTTATTTTACCCCATTTTTTTCATTATCGAATTTGGTTTCTAATAATGTATCCTGATTATGAATCACCTCTCATCTACTTACTCTCTCGCTTATTTCGTCGTCTGCTATTATTTTTACGTTTTTAAGCTGCATCAGAAATATATGATTAATATTTTGAAGCCTTTGGTCGGCAGATCTGTGGGTGCTGGAGAGCCCATCTTCAACATGAGCTATGGCCGTCTGCATGCATCTATAGATAAAGTGGAGGCCATTCTCACTCATGAATCCTGACCTCGTCAGTAACTTCCTTGTTCTTCTTCTCTGCATTTCCAATGAAAAACTATGTTTTCTCTGCTTATTCTGGATTTGATTGTTCTTATTTTTATTCCTGCAATCATTTTTATGGAATCTTTTTCTCCCACCCCTTCGAATCAGATTATCAGATCGATGAAGGCAATTGCTACTTATGATGTCATCAGATGCTCTCATGGTGGGGACGATGGGCATTAGGGAGGGTCAAATGGGGGAGAGTCAGAGGCTTCATCAGGTCAACCGGGCCACATTAGATCCAGAGAGCTGTGGTCAGAGCAGCCGCCGATTGGTCTTATAGTCTCTCTGTCTGTCTCTGTCTCTCTCAGCTCCTGGTTAAAGAAAATATCAGGTTCTCTCTCCCTCTCTCTCTCTCTCTCTCTCCTTTCTCTTCTGTCCATTGGCTTTCTCTGGTCATGTAAAGATAAAACCCTAGATTCACCATGAGAATGCGGGAGGGGAGGATCAATCCAGTTAATAGCTGCCTCTGGAATATGTGAAGAATCATATGGCATGATTTAGGACTTCATATTTTTTACTCTCGGATTTTAGGGTTTGTGATTTGATTCGCCTGCTGAGTCTACTGCTGGATAGGGCCCCTTGATCTTAAATGGTTAATAGCAGCAGACAGACGAGATGAGGAAGGAAATGCCCTGGAATTAAGGTAAACAAGAGGAGAAATCAATGAGCTCCAAAGAAGCCTTAAGGTCCTGTGGGTCCCCAGCCACAGTCTCTTTTAGAAATTCAATGCCCCCTGGTGGCTCTTGGGTACTTTCTTACCTCTAGCAAATGATAGGGCCACTAGGGCCACTAGGAGAAATAATGCTGCCTCACACACCTTGTCCTCAAAGCAGAATGTGGGGAATTGGTGTTGTAGGATGGACACCAGCTTCCAAGTAACTTCCTCTTTTGCTAGTTGGTGCTTCTTGCCTCACACACTTTGCCCTCAAAGTGAAATGTGGGGAACTTGTGTTGTAGGGTGATCACCACGTTTCTGATAATATGTAGCCAATTACCTCATGACATCTTGAAAGATAAGTTTGGAAAGTGAATCATGACTCTAATACCAGTGGACGCAACTTGAAATTTGTGAAGTTGAAAATTTTCACTTTAATTAAATTCACAAATAAAAATGATTTTTGTGAAAATTTTCACCCTTAATCTACAAAGTGAAGAAACTTCACCAAATTCTTGTGTTTAATCTTTTGTCCACAACACTAAAAGGATTCTCTTGAATTTATGAAGAAAATTGATGGTCATCATACTTGTTGTTTAGATGTGGTGACATTACTTCTTAGGCCAGAATTTGATCATTCATAAAGACTAATGCAACCAAGATCTGACACTTCAAACTACTAGTTATGGTTGACCAAGATCATGGGCTTTTGACTTTGAAATCAAATGCAAATCTAGGATAGACAACAAGGCAATAGATGCTCTTTCTAGGATGACAACATGAGTAGAACTCCAAATAGTGGCCTTAGTCTCACATCATGTCTTAGATGTGCAAACAATTTCAAAAAAGGTGCAAGAAGATACCCATGTATCTCTCACTATTTGTATTTCAACTAAGGCCCCAAATATATTATTCAATGTAATCTTTTAAGGCATCAACAATAGTTGGTGTTGTCCAATTCATCTCACTAGTTTTTAAAGAGTATCATAATTGAACCCCGAGAAGACATTTGAGCTTCTAATATACTTTAAAATGTCTTGCACTAGACATTTTTTAGAGTGCGATGAAGAAGATTATTTGAGAATTTCTGAATAAATGAATCATTTGTCAAAGAAATAACTATGAGCCACTACCATCAGTAGAGCTACCCTTGTCACTACCAATCCCAAGCATAGTATGGGTGATGCAATCTATTTAGATCCCACCTCAAATGGACAAGAGGCCTACGAAATATGAAGATGTAAGTTGGCCTAGTAAATTTTTTTACTCAAATATAATTTTTTAAAAAGTAAATATATGTGTAATTTATCTACAAATTCATCCACTATGGGTATTTTGAACTGGTCGAGAACAAAGGTCTGATTGATGGCTCAATAATCCACACATAATAGAAATTTTTTGTCCCTCTTCTTTACAAGTAAAATTAGATCTGAATAAGGGCTATGGGAGGGTCAGATGATTCATATTGCACACATTTTCTTGATCAATTCTCAATATAATTTTTCTGAAAATGTGGGTACCTATATAACCAAATGTTGACCCAGGTGGCACTAGGTTGTAGTGTGATAGTATGGTTGATGCCTCTTATTGGTGGGAGGTTTGAAGTGTTCGGAACACCTCTGGAAACTTACTTTGAGTCAAACTTTAGGTGTAATGGTCTAGGGGTTGTGTTGGTGTTGTTTCTCAATGTGAGATTGAAGCAATTCTTTTAGAAGTCCCTATCCTTGTTGCAGTTCTTTGGTCATGGCTTTCAAGGAGGTGCTTGACATCCTCAAGCGCAAATCGTTGTTCCAGATCATGGCGCAACTTGAGTTGCACATCCTTGCATATGCCATTGCCTTTCACCATGAGCCCATCTTTACTACTTGGCAGTTAGTTGTGGTTGACATAGGTAATTTGACATTATGCATTAATTTGATTGAGATGAAATTATGTTGCACTGTAATTTATGAGAATTGTTACCTCCCCATCCCCTACCTTCCAACGAAGCTTTATCGTCCCTGGCTCAGTGTTTTCATCTACTTGAATTTTGTCAATGTTGTCTCCCTCATCTATTTCGGCTTTGGTGAATATTTCTTTATCAGCTCCACCCGCTCTTGGTCTTCTAGTGGACTATGAAAATTTGTTATTCTTTCTTGCACACGTGGCCTGAAGTGAATTTTTCGTCTCATAAGAAATATAGAGTTTTGAGTTGCTAACCTTACAACTCAGTGTGAGTTAAGTTGATATATCTCTTGGCTCCCTTGTGCCATTAGAGGTGTGCTCCTCTTATCCTTAGTGACCTGGCATTTTCAGACCTAAATTCATTTTGTCCATAAAGATTATACTTCACAATTTGGGTCCATATTATCTCTCTAGCTGGTTAAAGAGTGTTGTTTTATTCTTCCACAAATTGTGCCATCAAATCATCTTTAGTTTGTTAAAGTTAAGTAGCTTCATGCTTCAGCTCTTTTACAAATGTGCTCTCGAACATTTCTTCAAGTAGCACCTCTATAGCTGAAGACAGCAGCTCAAAGTCCATCATGTGGTGCCAATCCCAATTATTTAATATCTAAAATCTCTCATAAAGACTGCCAAGTTGTGTTGATCCGAAGTGCTCTTTGAGTTGTTGTTTGAGGTCCTAGTTCACATGCAGGGTCCTAACATCCGTCCACTAGTACCATGCTAACAATTCCTCCTTGAAGTTTAATCCAATTGCCATCATCTTCTCCTCCTCCGTCATACGGTGCATTGCAAAAAACAGGTCTATGCGGTGAATCCACCCTTCTAAATTGCTTTTGCTGAAGACTGGAAGCTCTAGCTGTCGTTCCCAACTCTAGTGGTCTAACGAGCCATTGGGTCCTTAGTGACTAGTGTTATTCGTTTAGGGTACCCTTCGTTGGATAACATCTCCCCTGTTGTGATGTCTGCTGGCTTTCCAGTGTCCCTACTCGTGAATCACCTCTACGTTATTCATCCTTCTAGTTTATGCTTCCCTGTCATTCCTTGAGCAGATTTCTGCATCTCACCCAATGTGTGAATGATCTGAGCCATCCCCATGTGCAAACCCTCTAGCTCTGGCTTCATCTCCGTCATTCCGCTTTTCATTTCTGATGCCTCCTTTTCTAGTGTGTCAAATCATCTGACCTGGGATTTGGGTGCCATTGGACGTCGATCTCACCTTGTTCTAATACCAGAATGATAGGGTCCCTGATCTGAAATGGTTAGTAGCAATAGAGACACAAAATGGTAAAGGAAATTATGTAGAGTTAAGTTAAATAAGATTGGAAATCAGTGGGCTGCGAAGAAGCCCTAAGGTTCGATGGAGATGTTCAAGAGGCTCTCAGCTCTCCACAGCTGCAGCCTCTTCCAATAAGACATGGGATCAAGGATGATTTCCCATGTGCTATAGGACTAATTGAGCCGACTGGGAGGGACAACTAACCCCTTTTGGGTACTTTACTGGGTGCCCACTAGGTGCCCAATATTGCTCTCCCTCCTGTCCCCAGCCCTCCAAATTTCCTCCTTGATAACATGTTGATTTTCTTCAATAGAGTTTAACTGGGTCCCCTACATGAATCAAGAATGGCCACCATTTACATGGGCAGAAGCAGATATCCCCATTTAAAATAATCAACCCTGTTAATCTAATCCATGATTAAATCGATTAAGATTAGTCAATATAAGTAGCAAGAGTCTTCAAAGTTAAACTAGCTGTGGTAAATAGAAATAGAAGAAGCCGACCCATTGTTGACCTTTGTCATAAAGACTGGACTAGAAGAGACTGTTCTTAATCATAGGTACAATCCATCCTCTCTCTCTCTCTCGTTTCTCTCAATTGTTGCTCACCCCTGTTAATCTGATCCATGTTTAGATCGATGATCAAAATTAGTTAATATAAATAGGAAAGGGTCTTCAGAGTCAACCTAGCTGTGGTATATAAACGCGGAAGAAGCCAGATCCTTTATTGACCCTGCTCACGAGGACCGGTCAAGAAGAGACTGTTCTTAGTAGTCGGTAATATACTCTCTCTCTCTTTCTCTCTCTCTCTCTCGTTTCTCTCTCGGGTTCACCGGGTGGGGGGGGGGGCTAGGAGTGGGCGGCGAGGTTGGCGAGGACGGCTACGGCGGCGGAGTTGATGTAGGTGGCGGGCTCGAGCTTGGAGGAGTCCCAACGGAGGTCGTCGAAGTTGTCGTAGCGGTCGGGGCCGCCGACGATGGCGCCAGTGAGCTCGTTGGGATTGGGGCCAGGCCTCGAGAACCAGGCGGAGAAGCTGGTGGCGCAGTCCACGATGGCGCCGGCGGCCAGCGGCGGAATGGAGGCCCCCCGGTGGTGCGCCTGCATCGGCGGCGCCGTACCGAAACCCACCATGTACGACCTCCCCTCCGGGTTGCTCCCCAGCAGGTAGTCCATCTGCGTTATCCCACTACCGTTAGGGGGAGAGTGGGAGAGAGAGAGAGAGAGAGAGAGAGAGAGAGAGGGGGAGAGAGAGAGAGAGAGAGGTTAGGGGGGACCTGCTGTTTGGCGAAGTCCATGAGGCGGTGGGGAGGGAGGGTTTGGGTGCCGCAGGAGACGGTTTGGCCGTGACGGGAGAGCGTGTCGCTGTAGATGCTGAGGATGAAGGCCGTGCTGGTCACGTACTGAGTGTTGGCGCCGTCGCGGAGGTGGATCAGCCCTCCTGAAGAGGAAGAACCAGGAGAAGAAGACGATGATCATGAGGAAGACTTTGCTGTCGAAGAAGAAGAGGTTGACGAGGAGTACCTGGAGAAATGTAAACCTGCTTGTAGGGGCTCTCCGGCAACACGGCGCATACGAAGTTATCCGCCTGCGTTTTGAAGTTCTCGAACCCCTTCTCCCCGGCGAAGAGCAGCTGCAAGACGCCCCCACAGATATGATAGAGAAAGAAAGCTGCGTGTAGAGAGAGAGAGAGAGAGAGAGAGAGGAGGCTTACACCGGAGAGGAGGACTTGGACGCCGGCGTACTTAAGGTCCCAGCTGAATTCCGCGACGCTGGCGCTGATGGCCTCTTCGGTGATGAACTTGCGGTAGGTGTTCCTCCTCGTGGCGACGTACAGCCAAGTTGCGGCCCACAGGAGCTCGTCCTGAGATTGATTGGTCGTTAAATTGTTATACTGCGTGCATAGAGAGAGAGAGAGAGAGAGAGAGAGAGAGAGAGAGAGAGAGAGAGAGAGAGAGAGAGAGAGAGAGAGACATTATAGCCGGAATAAGAGCAGTAGAAGGGGCACTCTCCATCGTACGTCCCCTTGTGAGAGTTTGCGAATTCGAAGAGCTGCAAGAAAGCAACGAAGATAGAGAGAGAAAGCCTCAGCCCGTCGTCGGCAATAACCGGCTACCTCAGAACTGCAAAAGCAAGATCAAAATCTCCTTCCATCCCACCAGCTTCGCCTTGTTGAGGAGTCGGCGAGAGTACTTGTGGTCCGAGCTCCTGAACACGATCGAGGCGGCGGCCATGGCGGCGGCTGTCTCGGCAGCGATCTCCGTCCCCGGCGTGCCCTCTTCAATCCTGTACAGCGTTCTCGGCGTGCCCATGTTCTCCGGCCGCGCCCAGCACTGATGGTCCGCCACCGGGTCCCCCACCTTCACCATGAAGACGCCACCGTCAATCGGGGTCATCGCCGGAGACTTCGCCGGCTCTGGCGAGGGAGCAGGGAGGGGTCCTAGGGCTTACCTGGACCCAGAAGCGGTTGCGCTTGGAGCTGGCCTTGAGGAAGTAATCGGTGCCCCAGCGGATGGCCTCCAGGGCGTTCCCCAGCTCCCCCGCCGCCTGCATCTCCGACCGGTAGAAGAGAGCTCCCCAGGCCAAGGTGGTCATTGTGAACGCCATGGGCAGCCCGTACTTCACGTTGTCACCGGCGTCGTAGTAGCCACCTACCAGGTCCACCTGGTTCGCCGCACAAGAGCAAGACTATCAGGAAGACGAAGACGAAGACGAAGACGAAGAAGAAGAAGAAGAAGAAGAAGAAGGAGAAGGAGAAGAAGAAGAAGAAGAAGAAGAAGGAGAAGGAGAAGAAGAAGAAGAAGAAGAAGAAGAAGAACGAGAAGGAGAAGAAGAAGAAGAAGAAGAGGAAGAAGGAGAAGATGATGATGATGACGACGACGACGACGACGACGATAAAGATGATGAAGGAGGAGGAGGTGGCCATGACCGGGGAGGAAGGAGACGATGGGGAGGGAGGATGAATCGAGGAGGGCCCACATTGGCCAGGTGGCCGTCATTGAGGCCGGAGTCGCCCCTCCAGCGGACCCTGGAGCCACTGGGGAGCCTCCCCGACCGCTGCGCCTCCAGGAAAAGGAGGGACTTTGACAGCGCCTCCCTGTAGTTGTATCCACCGGCCGCGGCGAGGAACCCGTTGGAGACGGCGAGCCAGGCGAAGAACACGGCGGCGAACCACCTCCCGGAGGACCTCATGTGACCCTCGAGAGATCAATCCGAGGGAAGCCCAGAAGGAAAAACAGAGAGATTTATTGATGTTTAAGGAAATTTCTTTACAGACGGTGGAGGGCAAGTGCCTCTCCTTCCTGGGTTCTTCCAAAGACAGAATATTTATGAAGGGAAACCGTTTGGGCCCACTGGCCCGGATTCCGACCGTTCGGCAGCCGTGGGACGCTGTTGTTCACGTGTCGAATGACGATTGGACAATAAGTGGGGTCCGCCCAATTTAGTAAGAAACGCCCCTCCCCCGCTCCCCGCCGCACCTTCGACAGTACCCGCTGGGGGCCCTACCTATTTTTGACTGCACTTCTAGTCACCTTGCCGCCAAAGGTCAACAGAACCCCACGGGGGTGAGCTGATCCATTGTATAAATGGCCTAATGACGCTAGGAAATATTCAATCTGGGGCTATTCATAAACGGTGTTAAATTATTCCGTGATATTCTACAACCAGCATGTTTACTACGATATGTCAACAGGAAGATCCAATCAGCCCGACCCTCGATTAAATTACCGATTTAATAATCGATTAAACCACCCAAAATTTTATAAATCCGCCTATCCAATAATTAAGTAAAAAATATGCACATTGTTCTCTAAAGAAAATATATTATTTTTTTTAAATATATTTTTGTGAATAGTAACCACTTTTCATTAGGTACTAAATATGCAAACTCATTGAGGGATGTGGATGTTGCGAGAGGAATTAAGAGAGGGGATATATTAGTCTTTTTAATTTCTGCCTTTATACAGCTCAAATTATGGAGATCAAACTTATGATAGTTCATACCACATACCCTACTCAAAAACTGTAAAGATTTCATCCATAGGTTCCTCTAAATCAAAGTGGTACAATAGTTGAACACCAAGGCTTTAGCTAAACTTTATTACATTTCATGGCTCTTGTTTACTCTATGTTCATTATATATTTATGCCTCTGGGGAGGCAAACCCATTTGAATTCTTTTTAAAAAATTTAAGGCCAATTCAATTTGCAATTAACTAATATCTTCTAGATTTATGAATCTAAAAGGCCAAGCCTATTTGCAGACAGCTAATGTCCTCTAGATTTGTGGCTCTAGAGATTGAGTAATGTAAAGATTCAACCCTTAACAAGATAATAACAACTTACAACCCTTATAGATTCAACGTGTAACTATAGTGATCTATTTTTTTTAGCCTTTGGATGTAGAGCCATCATATCTAGAAAATAGATTTTAATAGTTGAGATACTTTTGTTCACTTTGATCCTTGAATGATTTTTTACTTCACTTCAACATCAAGGAGGACGCTCTAATATGGTGACTAATTTTCTTAATTTTTGGTAGTAAAAAAGGGTCTTTTGACAGTTAGGGCATGCTCTAATGGCTAGTTTAACAATAATATAGGATTTTCTCATTTTTCCAATTTTGTATGGTATGGCTGCACGCTTAATTGTTTTATCTTGGGTCACCTCATTTATTATTATTATGAAGTAGAAAATACTGTAGGAAAATAACTATAAAATTCTATAAATTATATTTAATTACTTTCAGCATAATCATGCACTTTCAAGGGTAAAAGATGTATAGTATTTTATAATGCGAGATTACCATTTTGCCCTTATAGGTATTTTCCTCAATTTAGGTGATTATTCTTATTCTAATGCACTTTGACCCAATGAGGAAGCTATTTCATATCTAAATTTTTTCTTATTGAGAGTCTATTTGTGAGGTTTAAACTATGAGTATTGAGTCTACACCCATCCATTCTTTAAATTAGAGAAAAAAATTGTGAATATTTTTCTAATATCTTAACATAATTATGTAAGTGGAAAATTAATATTCACACTTTTCAATAATTGGTTATCGTCAGAATATTAAGGCAACAAGCCTATGGTTTGAATGTCATGTTGAGGAAGAATGAGAGGGAGAGAGAGAGAGAGAGAGAGAGAGAGAGAGAGAGAGAGAGAGAGAGAGAGAGAGAGAGCCCTGATTATAGCAAAAAATAATAATTAATTATTCTATCCCCCAACAACTGGGAATTAGTGAACCGGCAAATAATATCTAGAAATGAATAGAACCCACAAGAATTTACAAATGCACAATAACAACATCAATGGAATGGGGGGGGGGGGGAGCACCAATTCACACCAATCTCTTACCCACCTGCATATATCTACAAGCTCTCCCCTGCCCCGTCACTTCCTCCATCTGATCATCACCAACCTACAGGTTCTGACCTACAGAGTGTCCTGTAGTAATCTCCAATTAATGGGGTAAAAAGATATAAATGGTACAACTGACACGGCGTAGCTCAGTCAGCATCTCCGGATGAGGCCAGCCACGTTCTCAGCGAGCTCCTCCTTGGCCTGCGCTGAGACAGGGAGGTCCCCAACGTACATGTCGAAGAAGGCCCCTGTGGATCCAAAACTCTCCCCATGATCAGTGAAAATGCCTGGAATACAAACGAGTTGTCGAGAAGGCAGGCAGAAGACGGGCTTCGATCTAATCAGGCTCAAGTGAAGCACAAATTAATTGATCTTAAAAAGAAATCAGGAATGGAGAGAGCCAAGATGGTAGATATCGCAGTCAAGAAGGTGCAAGGCAGAGTTCGATCTAATCAGACCTTGGTGAGGTATAATTAGCTTATGTTCCATTAATTGGTCCCAGATGAAGTTCATCGATCAGTATATTTTATATAAGCCACTTAGGAGATTGTAAGAGTCAATTTCTCTGCGAGATAATCGGGACGACGGAAAACTCACTCAGCATAGGAAGAGATCAAATCCTCCGGGGGAGGAGTGGGGATTATTATCCCATGAGTGTACTGTTGATAATAGTAAAGAAGAGAAAGAGCCCATACTTTCAGTCTGTTTAAAGTAAAGTGGGGAAGGAAGAGAACCAGTAGAGATTGAGAAGCTGAACTCACTGCACAGATCTCTGCTGTGTACAGCACCGATTGTTTTACCGCTGACTGCACACAAAAATTTCGGTCAAAAGATTATTTCAAGTTGTGAGCCATGAAAGCATGCAGATTCATTGAATCGGAGCTTACTTTCTGTCACAAAAAGTCCGTCTGCTGTGCGTCTGAAGTCAATCGTCGTACCCTGAATTAATACAGATCCAAAGCTAAATAAATATTGTATATGGTAGCAAATGCTGCAGAGCGAGCGGGGAACTTGTGTGCTGATGTTTACCACGGGTAATGGGATGTCTCTCTTGAAGTAGGAGCCGAAGACACTCAAGCAGTGGTAGTCCGTACTAGGATTCATCTTAGTTGAGGAAAAGAGAAGAAAGGGATGTATGTCAGTGGGAATGCGGTCCAGAGGATCCCTCAAAAGTGTTGATAGTCGATATACTTGACTGCAGTGAATAATACCTTCTCCAATCGCGCTCGGAGGGATTTTTCAAAAGCTCTGTAATGAAATGAAGTAGATAGTTAGACAAAGCTCATGTTACACTCAAGCAAAGCTTTGCAATCGGGCCTATCCTCGTGATAATTAGACTAACATAAAGCTCCTCAAAGTAAATAAATGAATGAATGAATGAATGAATGAATTGTAGAGTATATTCCTCCAATTGTAGACGGAATTTTACCAATAACGCAAGTAAATGATAATCTAATAGAAATACAAGCCGTAATTCTCCGGAAAAACATGATTTTGTGAAATCAGGGAGGTCATACGACAAAGGGAAGAAATCTGAGTAATTTATAACTCAGTCTCAAACCAATATGATAACGTGATGTGACTATGCTTCGAAAATTATTTTCATGAACAACACAGACAACACATGATATTTTAAATATATAGCAATGATATCCAATATTGCACAGGAAACTTCGTTCTTTGATCAATCGAGATGCCAGTAAGAAAAAGATGGTTTATAAAGCAATCTTAATCAAAATAATATCATGATGCTTACTGCCTCACTGTATTAATCTTAAGCCCATTGCAATTAACCACGAGCCGAACAGTCATACGAATATCCTCCCTGCATTATACTTGACCATGTTAGAGGCTAAAAAACCAAGGAAAGTTTGAAGCAACGGCAAAAATGTAATTAGGTCCTAAAAGGGACAATTTATGCTTCACAATTTATCGTACCAAAACCATGAAAATCTAGCTCTCCTTAAAAATTTAAAATGCAATAGTGATTATGAGCCATAAACCAGAAAAAAATTGAACAGAAAAAAAAAAAGATACAGTGATATGGCAAATATATTCAAGTAAAGTGCAATGTACCTTAGGAGATCATTGTAAAAGTCCAAATTGTTCTTCAGCTCACTGACTGGAATTGATGCATACTTGGGGCCAAGTCTCTCACAAACAGAATAAGGGTGAACATCTGAAACAGGGAAAAGGATAAGATCCAGTTACACAAATAACGATGACAATATAGTCACAAGCAATTTTTGGGAATTCTTTTGTCGGCATATTAGAAACATTGACCTTGAAAATAAATAACGCCACTTGAGATATTATCCCAGGTAGATGGATGATTTCAAGAGTTCATAAAAATGCACTGAGAAGGAGTGAAGTGAAGGGAAGGATAGAGACTACTGACATAGACCAAATGCATATACGTTCAAGGTTTTTATTTTTATCACCCGCATGGTTCGATAGCCAGTCCCAACAAGAACCTGAAATCATAATAAAGATCCTATTATTGACATTTTCTACAATCAACAAAGAGCAAAGTAAACATCCGGAAGCATAGCATCATATAACAAGCAATCATACTGGGGTTCTGACTGCGTATCTGCAGCTATGTGCCTAAAATGTACTACTCTAGCCCACAACAAATATATGGCTGCCATTTCATCCTGGTATTAACTAGAAAATATCATGAAAGAAGATAAATACAGGAAAATGTCGTTCATGAGGAACTTGGAAACACCTCCATGGCATCTTGCCCAAATACGTGGTTGTCCAAAATTGTAGGAAATTTGATACCAGTCCTTGACTCAATTGCATCCTTCATCAAGTTTGTGTTAGGCAAGAAAAGACTACCACATCCTTGAAAATTGTTTCCACAGGGTGCTTGATCCGTTCTTCCATGATATTGTTCAGCTGGAATCTCAGGTGGAAGAGCAAGTATCTTAGATGACCTAATGGGCGTCAACAACAGAAACCAAGCCAGAAGAAATTAATGAGGATTGATAAACAAATTCCACAGGTCAACATGCATTTTGTCTAAAAAATATTCTTCTAAATTTTCACCAATTCCCTTATCCACACCACAGAGTTGGAAAAGGTGCCATAGCAGATGATGAGTATGTGACATCATACTACATTCCCATGCAGGATCTCAAAGTTCATATAATTGGCCCACAGAGAATCCTAGTCATGATAGTTTTCAGTATGCACATAAAAATCTGCTGAGAGTGAGAAGACATACATGTGATCAAATGGCGGCACCAGGGCAACTGCTGCTGATAGCATGGGATGGAATCGTAGTTGCTCAATATCCTTCCACAAGCGTCTTATAGTAGTAGTTGCAACACTAGCAAAAAACACTGGCCCTCCATTTGAAGACTGTGATATAGAGCCAAACTGCAATCCTAAAAGATCTCGTTCACAGGATGTAACATGCTTAACTGGTGAGTGAGATTGTCTGGATCTCGAACCGTGTGAATTGCCTGACAATCTTTGATGTGAATTGTGGTTAAATCCAGTCGATAACCAAAGGAAAAAAGTTCCAGCAAACTTGGAGACGCATTTGATGGCTCCAAGTGTTATGGTTCCAGGAATATGAAGACTATTGGGGCAGTTTGTAGACCCGTCAATAAATGAAGCAAATTGTGACACTAAGTGCCCTCCAAAACCTTGAGATAAATGGGAGGGCTCTATGGGGAAAATATCCACGAGTCCACCATCATGGTTCAGATTTCCAAGAAAAAACCAACTGTTGCGCATTGTATGTTTGCGACTGTAGCTGTAGAAGTTTCCAACCTACAGGGGTAGCCTGTTCATGGAAGTAGAAATGTAGAATGAACACAAACATCGGAAGAAAAAAAGTCCATTAGTCTAACTAAAATGTGATTCTGACGGCAGAAAAGGATATAAAAGATGAGAGATCCCTTTAAATGATAATAGACAACAATAGTACGAATTAACAATAAAATTATATGGTAATTAATGAACTCTCTGAAATAAAATAAAAGCAAATGTAGACAACCAGAACTTATGGTATCCATCATATTTCACTTGAACAATCATAACCGTGACCCTTCCATGTTATGATGTAAACAAGGAAGAATGGGGTTCAGATCCATGGAAGTCTTGGCGTAATTCATATAAAGTTAAAAAGATGAAATTTCAGCCAGCAGTACTTAAATCATCCTTATGCCCATCCAAAGAATTTGTATCAGCTTGGACGTTAAAGTAATTAAATCTGACAGTAGAAACGGCTAATAACACCATTATTTAGAACATATGAAATGCAGCTTTCACTTATTTGTGGATGAATGATGCCTTCTTGCATAGGGACTGTGACACTCGTTAGTGTGCAAGGCATGATTTTCACAGGCTGACTAAGAAGGTAAAAACACAAATCTGTTTTAGTTTAAAGGGAATACAATGCCTAATGCTTAATTTCATATCCAGCAACTTGAATTCAAAATCGAGAGTCAATATCAATCAGTTTCTTGAGGTTGTCAGGGAGAGTGGGCCTGAAGTTAATTAATCAGAAAGGGAACTGAGAGGCAGGGTGCCAAGTAACGGTTGGCAGACAACATATCTTTAACAATCCAATCTTTTACCCACAAGTAAAATATTTCCCAACTATTGAAATTGCTATTTACGTGAATGCTATTAAAAAAATCTATTTCAATATGTTAATCAGCATTTAGCAGCGTGATTTGTGGCAAGAAAGATACTATCAGGATACATTTTCCATAAATCAACAACTACCCAAGAACTAATAAATGGTATATAATAGGAGAGATGGCAATAAGTTCTATTTAATTAGATACCATTTATTAGTTCTATTTTAAGAACTAATAAATGGTATCTAATTAAATGGTATTCCCATAGCAAGATCAATTTGATCCATGAGACATAAGGGCAAAGATAAGCGTAAATATTCATGTCAATCGGCGAAAATGATGCCCAGAGATACCGAGAATCTTAGATTCCTCATTAATCTCATATTTCCCCACATTTTAAGTATAATTATGTTTCTCCTGAATATGATCGAATAATGCAATAAATAAACAGATGTGGCATGTGGAATAAAATATGATGAGTTTAGTAGCTTGATATTTTAACACTATTACTTCTTGAAGTCATCAGTTTTCAATTTTTTTGGATAAAGAAAAATGGATTTAAATCGTCAGGAATCAAACTTCATTTAGTATGGGAAGCACCTAGACCACGATATGCATCCCTTGTCACGCTGATGGCAGTTACACCTTTAGGACACTATAACGAGACAATCATCAACCTAAGTTCGTGGTCCCTCTCCCAAGTAACGAGAGAGCCATAATGAAAAACCAGTTAGAAAGTAAGAAAGTAAGAAAGTAAGACCTGGTATGAAGTTAAGAGTAAAAATAGAATGAGCATTATGTCCAAGTTTATTGTGAAATCAGAATAGTAATGCAAACTTGCTTGCTCTTCAATGAAAAACAAATGAGTGAAATGCTTTTTCCTATATGAAGCTAAAAGAAGGCAATCCAGCGACAAAGATCCATATCTACTGACAAGTTACATCTACCTACTAGTGAGTGATCTCGTTTCACTCACAATATATCTGCACACTTTTTGGCTATCATTGGCCAAAATAGCACACATATTTCAAATTTCGTACAGAACAATTTGCCTATTTTTGGTAACTCGGATATACAAATTTCTTCTCTCAAGCTAGAATGATTAATCCTACTGGATAAACCAATCTGATCAGAATGTTTGACTCTCACGATCCCATCCCAGCTCAGTAGGCATCAGATGGTTGGGTGATAATGGTTTTTTTCAATGTTGCGGAAATGGCATAAGCTATGTAAAGGCCACACCTCAGAATTGAGTAAGAACCATAAATGACTGGCGCCACTTCCAATAACAGAATACGACTTTAAGATGTCTCAAAATAATAAATCCAAAAAAATATTTAACATCTTCCAAACTATACATCATCAGGCATATAGCTCCCAGAATGATAGCATTCTCCATCCACATTCTGAAAGCAGTATCTTGCGCAAAGTTCCCAGAAAAATTCCGTCTAAAAACACAAAATTCATTTCAAAATGAAATCTTTTTCTTTTCGCATTATCCTAAAAAGTAGAATTCATCAGTCGTATACACCAAGACAACCCAAAGAAAATCACATTCAATAAAAATACCCCATCACCGCGTCAAGTGGCGGAAGAAAGAAAGCCCTCCACATTCAAAACGCATGAAGGTGCGTCCATTCAACAGACATCTATGTCATGGAACAATAGCCAACACCACACCAACTAGGACGGACCACAAGCCAAACGACAGAAAATCAACATTCCGTCGCAATCCATAGCGCTCTAGTTGAAAAATAAACATCAAGCTGGAACGAAGATCACCTCCCGACGAAAGATCGAAGAGTGCAGAACCCCCGGCGACGCAAATTAGGGCTCGTACTCCTTTCCTGGGTGCGACGGAGAGAGAATCGAAGGTTCAGGATATTCCCCCGTTGCCTAAACACGTACACTGTTGGAACGCGACGACTTATACAGGCGGAGGAGAGGAAGCGAGGAAGTCGGAGGAGAGAGACGTGGAGAGGAGGAGAGAGATCTTTGCCTCTCTCTCTCTCTCTCACCGCCCTCCACCAGAGTACGCTTTTGGCCTGTTGGCCGGCGGATGTATTTTTATGACGCTGGACGGTCGCCAACGCCGACGTAAAAAGCCAAGTTAGTTTCTCATAAACTCTAGTTTTAACTTATATTAACTATGTACTCCTAAAACCTTGCATTCTGGGCTTCTGTAATGGGTAATTGCCTAATTTTAATATTTAAAGGACTATAAACAAGTGCGGGAAAGTGGAAGTAGAAGAAATGGAAAAAGCAACAATGCTTTGCCGTATAAAACCTAATTAGTTTTATATTAGGACTAAGGCCTTATGCGAGAAGAAATTTCTTACTTCAGCTTCCTCACTGCAGCATGGTAGGAATGAGTATACAATTAATACTTTTCAAGGAGGGAATGAAAATTATAGAAAAGTGGAATAGGCTAATTGCAAAAGGGGATAGCCGTGGTCCACGTGTGAACGGTGCGGGGCGGCTAACGGAACGGCCAACCGCCGACTATGGTTGTCTCAAAGCCGGCATGGAGAGGTCGTCTCACGCGTTCCGCGTGTGAACGCACATGCACACGTGTTCCACCGCCACACCAGCTCCGCCTCTACAACGCGTGCCTGAAATCTACGTAAATATCATGGTATATTATATATGAATATTACATTTCTACTTGTAATTAATGAAGACGAATACTTCTGGTGACAACAACTGGGCCTGGGCCTTTCATACTTGGGCCAGGCCCAACTCTCTCTCTCTCTCTCTCTCTCTCTCTCTATCTATATATATATATATATATCAAATAGCCTGGGGATGGCCTGGGTCTAATAGCCTGGGTATTGCTTGTTGTCTAGAAAGAGAGCGAGCGAGAGAGAGAGAGAGAGAGAGAGGAAGAGTACGTAGGAGGAGAATAAATGGGCCCAAAGAAAGCCCAGGCCCTGGCCCGATACGATGTTAGGCCGAAAAAATTGAAGCCCAAGTCCAGCCCGTGGAGACTCCGAGCCCACGATATTAGCGGAACCGATTTAAAAGTTTCTCACAGGCCGCGGTGAGAAGGGAGTATAAATAGGTCTGCACAGAGAAGGGCCGTCTACTGCCGTCTGCTGCCTGTCGCCACCGAGGAGGGACAGGAAAAAAATCGAGAAATAAATCGGAGAAATTCTCGCTTCCGTCGATCGCTCGAAGGGGGAAAAAAATCTCCTGCAATCGCGAAGGTTCAAGCAGATTCGATCATCTCTTCGACGTCGTCCCCGCAGTTCAGTAGACGGAAAGGGAGGGGTGGGGGGTGGGGGACGGAGGAGAGGAAGAAAATCAGCTGAGCAATCCAGTGCTGTGGGGATGAAAACCCTCCGCCGCCTTCTAGGGTTTTAGGGTTGGGGCCGGGGGAGGGGCTCTGGCTTTCTATCCTCTGGGTTTTTTGATAGGTGAGGGCAGCACGCGGCATGGACGACTTGGAGAAGGCGATCCTGCTCAGTTATGAGCCCGGCGGCGGGGTGGACCCCGTGCTGAGGTCGCAGGCCATCGACTACTGTCGGCAGATGAAGGACTCACCGGCGATTTGTCGCCTCTGCGTCGAACGCCTCTCTCGCTCCGATTTGGTTCCCGTCCAGTTTTGGTGCCTCCAGACCATCCACGACTCGCTTCGCCTCCGGTACTCTTCTATGGACCCGGCTGAACGGGGCTTCCTACGGGACTTCCTCCTCTCTGTCGCCTGCTCCGGTGGGGGCAGCGGCGGCGAGGCGGCCGTTGCGGCCGCTGCGGCCGCCGCTCGGGTTTCTTGCAGCCCCGCCTTCATTAAGAACAAGTTTGCCCAGGCTTTTGTCGCCCTTGTGTGCCTGGAGTACCCTGCCGCCTGGTCCACAGTCTTCCTTGACCTACTGCCCCACCTTGGCAAAGGCGCAATTGTCATTGACATGTTCTCCCGAATCCTGAACTTGTTGGACGACGATCTAATCAGCATGGAGTATCCCAGGTCGAATGAGGAGATCTCCATGGCAGGAAGGATAAAGGATGCGATGAGAATGCAGTGCATTCCCCAGTTTGTGCGGGCCTGGTACGACATTGTTGCCCTCTATCGTAGCTCCAATCCTGCTCTTGCAACCATGGTCCTGGACACGATGAGGAGGTACATTACATGGATTGACATTGGGCTGGTTGCGAACGATGCCTTTGTTCCCCTCTTTTTTGATCTTGTGCTCACTGAGGGCCTGCCTGAGCAGTTGAGGGCCGCTGCAGCTGGCTGCTTGCTTGCCGTCGTTTCCAAACGGATGGAACCAAAGCAGAAACTGGGGATGTTACAAAGTCTCCAAATTAAGCGCGTTTTTGGATTGGTTGCCGAAGATGGTGAACCTGAGCTTGTTTCAAAGTTGGCTGCTTTAGTCACTGGTTATGCTGCCGAGGCTCTTGACTGCTCTAAGCAGTTGAGCCCCGGGAGTGTGGATGGGGCTGCAATAGAATTGTTAGAAGAAGCACTTCCATCAGTGTTGTTTGTGATCCAGAACTGTGAAGCGGACTCAACATTCAATGCTGTCCAGTTTCTATCAGACTATGTGTCTACAATGAAGTCACCTTCACAGAAGCAGGTTGTATATTTGGGTCAGATATTAGAAGTGTTGCGGGGAGAAATTTGTTATGATTCCATGTATAGAAATAATCTCGAGTTACCTGATAAGATTGGAAAGGAAGAGGAGGAACAGATGGCAGAACACCGGAAAGAGTTCTTTGCATTGCTACGCAGCATCTGCAGGGTGGCTCCTGATGTTACCCAGCTGTTTATTAGAAATCTGTTGGCTAATGCTCTTGCCTCTTCAGTGATGAATGTTGAAGAGGCTGAAGTTGCCCTTTCATTGTTCTACCGCTTGGGAGAGGCAATAAGTGGTCAAGGGATGAGGACAGGTGTTGGTATTTTAAAGGAAATGATCCCAATGCTGCTTTCAGCACGGTTTCCTAGCCATTCTCAGCGGATCGTGGCGCTTGTATACTTAGAGACCGTCACAAGGTACATGAAATTTGTACAAGAAAACACTCAGTATATACCGCTGGCCTTGATGGCCTTTCTGGATGAAAGGGGAATACATCATCCAAATGTGAATGTGAGCCGTCGTGCGAGCTATCTATTTATGAGGACTGTAAAATTACTAAAGTCCAGTCTTGTTCCTTTCATTGAAAAAATCCTGCAGGTGAATAAATTATTCAAATCTTTCCTTTTATTTCTTCATTCCCATTTTCTTTCTTTGCCTGCATTCGACTAATTCCTCATGCACTTCGTGGGTTTTCAGAGCTTGCAGGATGTTGTGGTCAAATTTACCAGTTTAGATTGGTCATCAAAGGGTCTAAAGTCTTCTGGGTCTGAAGACGGTAGTCACATGTTCGAGGTAACGAACTCTTTGCTTTCTTAATGTGATGGACGTTATGTATTCTACGAGAGTAGACTATCCTTTTATGCCCACTTTTTCTGATTCTCCGTTCACTTTTTTTGTCAACTTTTTAGGCGATTGGTTTATTGATTGGCATGGAGGACATTTCACCAGAAAAACAATCCGAGTATCTGTCTGCATTACTGATACCTCTCTGCCAACAGGTTAATTTTTTGGATAGACTATTTGTGGGTTTGACAATTGCATTATACAACAGTGTTCATTCCATCTAAGTAGACACTTAAAAATTCCTCTGCATCTTAAAACGATTTATGTTGCTTAACTGCAGGCTAAGTCATTGCTGGTTGACGCTGGTACACTTGCACAAGAAGATGCGTTTGCAAAGGTTGCCTGCATCCAGCAAGTGATCATGGCAATCAATGCTCTCAGCAAGGTTTCCAAATTATTTGGTTCTTTTGTAGGAACTCCCTGCTTGATCTATTGATGATTTTCTGGGAAATATTTTTTGAATATGAACGAAATCTTCTTCTTAGAATTAGTGATCTGTCTATCGTAGAAAAAGTATTCAAACGAGAATACTGCGATCAGCCTCTGTGGGCTATCTGACTTGAACTTACTGTTAGCTGTATGAGTATGCCGATGTTTAGTTAGTTATGGCAGTTCTGTCTTTGTCATCGAAATCACTTGAAGTATTTAATGTGTTGGAGAGTCATTGATCCCAGCTTAGGTGGTGTTTTTTGTGTGACATATTTTCTGTGTAGTATCTAGTGGGGCCAGAGCCACTATGGTATTGTTTTTTTCTTAATGTAAACGGATTGTTTACTCATTAGTCATCTTCATTATGTAGGGCTTTAGCGAGCGGCTTGCAACAGCTAGTCGTCCTGCAATCGGTGCTATGTTCAAGCAGGTATGTGTGGTTTGCTGTATTTTTTCGAAGTCTGATTCTCCGCACGAGTTATACAGGGGAAATATTTTCTTTTAAAAAATTTGTGATGCTACTGTCAAGTCTGTTGCTTCCCGGATGAAAACAGATTGATGATGCGGCTCCGCGCTGCACTAGTTTTACTCAAGGGTTACGCATATAGTGATAGAAGCATTCAGATGCTTCTTGTTTACTTCATCTGTGCATTTTGGAACAAGCCTTTAGCAGGAGATTGAACCTTCTGTTCATGTTTACAACTTCTTTGACTCATCCAATCTGAGATTCTTACCAGAGGAAAGGAATGGCACTTGATGAAAACCCTGACACCGTTAAATAGTGCAGATGTTTTTAATCGAGTATTATAGAAAATTGTCCAACATGTGGACTGAGTGGTTTCACAATCCTAGTTACTGATAGTCTGAGATCATAATAACCAAATGCTAAACAGAAATCCTCAAATGGTCATTTTATCATTGTTAGTGCCAGATTTTAGAATTCTGTATTCTTCCTTCTGAATTTTTTACTGTGGCTTGCAGACATTAGATGTTCTTCTGCAGATTTTTGTAGTCTTTCCGAACGTTGAACCTCTACGGAATAAGGTAAGATGAACATTCTGGATTATCTCTTTAGGTGTTGGTTTTTGTGATTGTTTTTAGCTAACTACATTCTAATTTTGCAGATCACTTCCTTTCTTCATCGAATGATTGAAGTGTTAGGTCCTTCTGTATTTCCTTACCTTCCCATTGCGTTAGAGAAATTGCTTGCTGACAGTGAGGTGCGCCATTTTTTTTCTGGTTGGTTGTTTTTTTTTTCTAACCCTTTGGTGTAATGATGCCTTCGAAACAATGTGGTCTAATCTTGTCACACCTTTATTCCCTCAATTTTGGCGTATATTTATGTAGGGTCATTTGCCTTTTATTTGATATCGATGACCAATTTTGATCTCTTTTGCACATTTGTGTCTGCCAAGTCCTGCTTTATCTTCTGAAAATGAATGTGTTTAAGATGATCTTAGATAATTAGAAATTGACCATTCTCTTCCCGACGTACTTTATGATGGGATCTCATTGTTAACCTCAAAATGAATGACAGAATTCCTTCTAGGTTAAGGGGTTAGGATTAATCATGTCTTGATTCGTCTAGGAATCAACCCTAGCCCCTTCTATTACTTGAAAAGAAGCTATTGCCATTAGAAGTCCATATTTCGACAGTTGCAGATCGAAATGGTTGATTATTGCTCATTCTTCTTTTTGCCCCATTTTTTAATTTGTATCTATGGGCAATGACCACATATCATGTGTGATCACCCTAGACTGGCATTCTGCGGCCTCCACCATGAGGCTTTTTTAAGTTTGTGTAAAGTAGCTGAACATTTGTTCCCAGCACTGTGGTGGTGGTTAAAAGCCATTCAATTATGAGAGCAGAAACATGAAATCGCATGTAAGTGGCGCTTGTAGAAACTTGGTTCATCCCATGGTATGCAGCAGCTACACCTGCTTCAATGAAATAAGTGACAAAATTCAACTGGACAACACAGGGGCTGTTGATGTACATAAAATGTTATTTGTATCCTTTTTTTGGGTTTTTTTGGCAGGGAGGTGGGGGGTAATGCTTAGTCATAGCATTCCACAACATCTTCACGCTCATCGATAATTGCATGCTCCGAAAAGAAACCAAGTCCCCCTTCCTTGATCAATGGGTTTGCAGACATGTCTCCAACCTCGCCAATGCCTTTTGAAGCCGCCCTCCATGTCCCTCAGGCTCTTCAGTAGATTAGATCGTGTAACTCGTTTTTCAATTAACATGGGTATCCCTCCGTCCCAGTCCGCCAGAATGAAATCAATGGAACCCGTCCCCTCTACCTATATAATAAATATAGGAAACGAAAACAGGCCCAAAACTTTCTTGGAAGTGATATCACTTTAGCTTTCGCGATCAAAGGGTACATTGCAAATCATTTTAGTATTTGGGGCTTCCTTTCTCACTGATAGCCTTTGAATCTCTCAAAAGTTTTCTTCTTTGGACTCATCAATTTCGGAAGTTGTTATTGGAAGTGAGATATCATGGTGTTTTGCTCTATAAAAACGATCTTAAGTGCATGCCTGCTTAGTGTAGAGTTTGGATTCAAGTATGGGAATGTGAGAAATAAAGAAATCTCGTATAGTTGTGCTTCTGGCTATATACCGTACGTGCTCTAGAATGCTTGAAGAAGGCCGTTGCCTTTCTTGAACAGGAGAAAAGGGGATTCCATTGGGGAAACCATTCCTAGATATCTTGGCCCAACTTAGATATTTTGCCATCTGCTTCTCAGCTCAAATTACTCAAAAAAAAAATTCCATTTAAAAGTGCATATAAAACCAACGAGCGGTTGGCAGATTGACGATCATTCTGAACTACAAAGGCCAAAATCCTCATAGTTTTTGTACATGGCTATTCAAAATGTAAGAATTTCTCGTGAATCTCATAGTTTCTTCCTCCCTTCTGCGGGTCCACCTGTATTCATCGGAAATAATCCCTAATGTCTTTCGAGCACATTTGCTTGCGCTTGATGCTCCAAACTGTGATGAATGCAGCCAAAAGAAATGGTGGAGTTTCTTTTACTCATAAATCAACTGATATGCAAATTCAATACTTCCGTGGGTGGCATACTAGAGGATATCTTTCCCACGGTGGCAAGCAGAATGTTTTCTATTCTTCCAAAGGATGGATTTCCCTCAGCACCTGGTGGCAACGTTGAGGTAGGTTTTCTCTGGATTGTTTTTCTGAAGATCGTGAAATATATGCCATGCATGATTTTATTTTTATTGTCCCTTCATTTCAAATCAGTATATGATGCATGAATATGTGGACTCTGTGTATTAAGCGGCTTGCCTGTTTTTTTGGGTTGCTGCACGTTTCTGCTGTGAATATTTAATGCTGTGGTATCGCCTACTTCGGAAAAAAGTCTTCAGCCTACTGTGAATTAATACCATAGACTGGATGGCCTTGCAGCTCTTCCATTCTGTCGGGTTTTGGCAACAGCACCACATAATGCAGAGCAAATCATTTGAGAAGAATCCTTATTTTGAGGATAGTTTTCTTTTTCCGTCACCTTGAGATTTAGATCGGTTGTGGTAAGGAATCCCAATTCCTTGCATCCACAGGAAGACGCCCTTCGATGACATTTATGATTGAATGTAGTAAAATCCATCAAAACTTGAATGGTAGCAATGAAATGGAAACGCACCCTATTCCCCCCCCCCCCCCTTCCCCCTTCATGCAGTTTTATGATTTAATCATAGTAAATAATAATAATTAGGATTTCATCAGCCCTCGGCATCTTTCCCATAAATGAAACAGCTATCCAGTTATAGATGGGATGAACTTTTGATCTCTTAATTCTGAAACTGCTGAGGGCATATAAGTAGAATGTGTAAGCAAATAATCATTATCAATGCTGAGTCTTTTCTTGTTCTTTGGATAAATTTCTCGCGGGGTCGTTTATTAGTTTCCTCTTTTTAAAAACCAAAATAAAGTCCTCCAGTGTTCACGGCTAAACTCTCAGATCTCAATGGTTATTTGAGGTTGCACGCCTTCTGATGCCCTAAACACTCCTTATCAGGTTATTTCCTAATATGGGCATGCGCCAAATTCTGTGATTTTGTAGGAAATTCGAGAACTGCAGGAGCTTGAGAAAACGCTGTTCACATTTCTCCACGTTGTGGCCACCCACGATCTCTCTTCGATTCTTCTTGCACCAAAGAGTCGTGGGTACTTGGATATTATTATACAGATGCTTCTGTTCTCGTCTTGTAGTCATAAAGATATGGTAGTGAGAAAGGTGAGCGCAGCATTTTCTTCTAGATGGCCCCTCTTGAGTTGGGTTCGTTCCTCACCAGACCAGATTTACATTTCTCTGTGCCTATTTTTCAGACTTGTGTACATATCCTCGTCAGATTTACCAAAGATTGGTGTGACAAGGTCGAGAATCTTGACAAGGTCGAGAAGCTTTTTCATTAATCTTTCTTTTGCGGCAGTATTTTTTCTCTTTGCCGTTCATTTTTCTCCACGGATTTTTTTGAAATATTTTGTCTATTTTTTCAGGTTCCTGGGTTCCGGAAATTCATTATCGAGACATTCGCCACCAACTGCTGCTTGTACAGTGTAGTTGACAAGTCGTTTGACCTTCGAGACGCAAACACTGTAAGCTCTTATTTTTCCTTTCTTTTTTCCCATTTTTTCAATTTTTACCTCAATTATTTCTCTTTATTATTTATTTCAGTTTAAGTTTGCTATTTTCTTTGAAACGAGAAAATTCACAAATTCTTGTGCCGGAATAAATTCTGTTGGAAAATTTGTGAATTTCTTCACGCCTCACGCATTGCCATCTGTGACTCGTTCTGAAAGAGGACTTCCATTCCCTCTCTCTCCCATGAATTAGTAAGTTGAAGTCTCTGAGTTGGATAATTAAAATGGTAAACATGGTATTATATCTCCTGGTGCAACATATTTTTGGGGGGAAAGAGAGGGAGAATCGGGGTAGAAAAAGGTAGAAAAAGGCCCGCCTCCTCCTATGATGATGAACTGCTCCTGCCGCAGGTCTTGCTCTTTGGAGAGATTCTAGCGGCCCAGAAGGCCATGCACGAGAAGTTTGGCGATGCCTTCCTCCATCACTTCGCTGTGGCCGCTCACTGCCCCCAAGATTTAGTGGAAGTTTTCCGGCAGAAGCTGCAGGTGAGTGACGACGACTGGCCAGCTCATGCTCCTGTCCCTGTCTTTCATATAAATAAAAGCTGCTATGAATGGCAGTAATTATTGAATCAATGAGTCAATCTTCCTGCTTGATTAGAGAGAGAGCTATGGGTTGCCAGGTGTGGTTAGAATAATACCCGGGATCCTCGTGCTCATTATTTCAATGTTTGACATCTGGGTTAAGATGGATTACAAAAGGTCTCATAATATATATATATATATATATTGATATTGTTGGTTCTTCAGGGTAACAGCATGGAGGGGTTGAAGTCGTTCTATCAATCCCTCATTCATAATCTGAGGCAAAAGCAGAATGGCAGCTTCCATTTCAGATAATACATGTTTCCCCAGAGCCAGCGGCTACATTTTTTGAGGTACATTTTAAAAAAATAAAAAATAAAAATCTCCCGTGGACTGACCCGACAGTCTCTTGTTTTTCATTATTTATCTAGTTTCTCCCTCTAACCACTCTTTTCCACTATTCTCCCAATCCCTTTCTGGTCAACGCAGTGGTCCTGAATCTTGTATATATTTTTCCGGGTCAAAAGCCGAGAGGTGAGCTGCCGCTGTGTATATAATCTCTCTCTCTCTCTCTATATCTCTTGCGCTGAGGGTTGCGTTGGGATTTGCAGGTGTAAAGTTTTCGGGGCGAAATCTTTGAACCGGCGGAAGGGGAGCTCTGTGCAGAGGGTATTCAATCGAGTGTAAAGTTGAAGTGCGAGACCAGCCAGCTCTCCTCTCTCTCTCTCTCTCTCTCTCTCTCTTCCTTCTTTATTTATTTGATTTATCTCTTCGCAATATTCTTTATATCGGGGTCGTGGTCCCGCTCCGACTTAATTTTGCTTCGCTTTAGGCTCCTTTCCTATTAGTTTTTTCTGGAAAAGGAAAGATCGAATAAGAGAAGGAAAAATAAGATGGGAAGAAATTCAGGGCGTATTCTGGGTCGTGGTGGTTTCTCAATCATTTCCCCAGGTGGGTCCATCCAATGGAGTGCTCAGATTCCTCAGCCTTTCTATCATCGCCGCCCATTCTCCTTTTTATTAGGGGCAGAGGACCGACGGCTGGCCGGAGTGTCTGTCGGGTCTGGTCAACCGGGTCCGTGACTTGAAGTCTACTCACTCTTCTCTCTGTCTCTGATGGATGGAAGACGCCTGCTAACCTCGGGTATGGCCTGCGCTTCACCTCCGGTCTTTTCTTGATAGGTCCTTGTTTAATAAGAGATAAGCTCCCTTGAAAAGTCAACCTCGGGACACCACGACCAAAAGTCAGAAACAGCCGCTCAACTTCCCCCTTGTCCAGTTTGAATGGAGTAAAATGGCCATCTAAATACAAGAGCAACCCATCTTACCAACTGCATTTGCTGCTAAATGCCAGAGAGAGAGAGCAGAATGGGACCCATTGGGATCTTTCGCTATCCTCAAGGTTGGTAAAAAGGCTCTCTCTCTCTCTCGCTGTCTTTCTTTCTTTCTCTTTCTTTCTTCCTATCGTGAGGGCTAGGGCTAATAAGGATCGATGATCGTATCCCGGGGCGGGTCCGAGATGACAACTAGTTGCGGACCGACCAGGCTTGGGTCGAAGAAAAAGCCCGAAAATGGTTCCGGAGCGACGATTCGTCCTAGTCAGGTGCAGTTGGGGAGGAGAGAAAATTGTATATTCCAGTTTTCTTCTCTTATTTAAAATGATCTTTGTAATATATTAAATATTTTAGAACAAATATCTCGAAGATTCGAGAGAGTGAACCGAAATGGGGATGCCAGACCACATCCCCACCTAACCCGCCACCGGTCAGCCCCCGCCCATACTTCACGAGGATGGGAGGGAAGAAATCTTCGCGGAGAAGAGATTAGATCTACGACGACGTCTCTCTCTCTCCCCCCCTTTCTCTCTCTATCTCCGTCGTCGTCGTCGTCCTTAATACCGAGAAAGACGACCGTAGCTCTGTCTCTCTGTCTCTCTCTCTCTCTCTATCTCTACCCACTATGGGTCGTAGGAGGGCGAAAGGCAGCGTCGAGTCGGGCCTTGTGGAACGTGGGCCCACCATTCAAGAACCCAGAAAAATATGAGCGCAGCCGGGGCCCCACAATATCCGGGCCCCACAGAGAACCCTCAGAAACGACCTCGCGGTGTCGGAACAAATCCACTGCAGCTGCAGCCACAAAGATCGCCCCGCCGGCGGCGGGGCTTTCTCTTCCGGCGGCCAAAAAACATCCCGATGACCGGACGGGGGCCCGGTGGGGCTATCTCTCCCTGCGGCCGAAAGGCATCCCCATAACCGGATGTGCGGTGGAGCGCGGCATCTCCGGTGTCGTCTTCTCCCTCTACGGCGAGGAAGCGGCCCCCGGCCGTCCACGTCAGCGCTCCGCGGGTGACGGAGGCAGCTTCTGGAAGCGCCGGTAGCTCCCCCGCCGTTGCCGGAATGACGTTAGATTAGACGCCGCGTCGGACTCCGAGGTGGACGGTCCAATTTTTAAAATTTTCATTTATGTCCCTTGTAGAAAACAAAAATTCTCCTAGCAGCAATTACAACCTTTGTAGCTGTTGATTTTGTCCGGAGAAGGCTTCAACGGGGGTTGGTGTTTTTGAACCATTCGGGTCACCGATGAGGACATATCGATAAATTTTTAAAGTGCACGTCACGGAAAATAATAAAGAAAAGGCCCCAGGCGTGAGCTGGTAGGGGTAGGCGATCCGGGCGGGCCCAACCCGGTATTCGGGGTTGGCCCCCCAAAGCGCGCCCGCAGTCGTTTATAGGCTTAGGATGTCTTCGGGCCGGATTTTAACTCGGAGGCCGGCCCGGCTTGCTGACAGCTAGTTCTAGCAGTGGGCGAGGTCAAGGGGTAGAATGGGTATTCTCATGGTCGCCGAAGAAGATGACGGCGTCTCCGGCGAAATCTTCTACATATCGGGTAGAGTGGTTGGCGGCGAGCGGCGAGCGGCGAGCGGCGTACGAATATATTTGGGCGGTTTACTTGAAGGGATCGTCGTCGCAGTGCCTACCGCTTCCTGACGATTGCAATTTCAGGGAGGGCTTCTCTTGCCGCCGCCGTCTGCGGCGGCGAGTCTGGTCTTCTCCGCTCCTCCCGGGCGGCGGAGTATGGGGATGGAGAAGAAGAGTAATCTCTCATGGAGGAGGTTCTTCGCCTGCTACGGTAGAGTGGGGGACAGCCCCTCGGTGGCCGGCGGCGCCGTCCATGCCAAGCAGAGATCGCTCCGGCGGTCGTCCTTCTCCGACGCTAGCTTCAACGGCGGCGCCGCCTTCTCGCCGGAGGACCTCTCACTGTCCCTCGTCGGCGCTGACCTTCATGTCTTCACGCTGGCGGAGCTGAAGACGGTGACGCAGCACTTCTCCAGCGGCCATCTCATCGGAGAGGGCGGCTTCGGGCCGGTGTACAAGGGGTTCGTGGACGAGAAGCTCCGGCCGGGGCTGAAGGCGCAGCAGGTGGCCGTGAAGCTGCTCGACAAGGAGGGCCACCAGGGCCACCGCGAATGGCTGGTAAGAACGATCCTCCGCCGGCGGCGCCGCCGTCGTCGGAGAGCGATGCTCGTCATTGACCGATCCCCGCGCTGATTCACCGCCGTTGGTCGTCTGATTCCTCAGGCGGAGGTGATCTTCCTGGGCCAGCTGAGTCACCCCAACCTCGTCAAGCTCATAGGCTACTGCTGCGAGGAAGAGCACCGCCTTCTCGTGTACGAGTTCATGGCCAGGGGCAGCCTGGAGAACCATCTCTTCAGAAGTAATGCTTGTTCCTCCCTCTGAGCCTCGCCTATCTATCTATCTACCTACCTACCTACCTAATCTATATAGCTATGTCTATCTATCTATCTACCTATCTAACTATCTATCTATATAGCTATATCTATCTATCTATCTACCTCTCTCTCTCTCTATCTATATGTATATATCTGTCTCTTCAGGTCTGCCAATGCTCTTGCTGGCAGGATTTTTCGCGTCGCTGCCTTGGATGACGAGGCTGAAGATCGCGGTGGGGGCGGCGAAGGGGCTAGCTTTCCTCCACGAGGCTGAAAAGCCCGTCATCTACCGGGATTTTAAGGCCTCCAACATCTTGCTGGACTGCGTAAGCTCCTCCCCTCCCCCTTCTCCCTCCTTCCTCACTCCTCCACCTTCTTCTTCTTCATCATCATCATCTCGATCTCTTCCCTCTTCTCCCTCCTGGTCTTTAGGATTACAAGGCGAAGCTCTCCGATTTCGGGCTGGCCAAGGACGGTCCCCAGGGGGAGGAGACCCACGTCTCTACCAGAGTCATGGGCACCCAAGGCTACGCCGCCCCCGAGTACATCATGACGGGTACCCTTTCCTCTCTCTCTCTCTCTCTCTCTCTAAGAGTAGAAGTTACGCATAAAATTGGTTGACCATAATTTGGGTAGGCTTGACAGTTTTTCGGCGATTTTATTGGCACAACGTCGCTTTTAATTCTCTTTTGGAAAGGTACCACATTTGCATAAATATTTGGAAATATAGCATGGGGTTGACCTAGGGTCTGTAGCCTCGTGTACGGAGTTGGTGTGGCAACAGCGTGACCACGTTGATCGGTCAACTTATGTTGCACCAAGTAAATATGCTAGCCTTGCATGCCAAGTTAATTGAGGCGAGACCATTCTCGTAACTCATACGATTTCATTTTCTCTTCAGGTTAATTCTGTCCTCTTCCGGGGGTTTACGTATTCTTCCAGAACACAATTCCAGAATCATCTTTTTTTAAAATAAAATAAAATAAATAAAATCGACACGTGTGATTTTGCTGACAACATCCTCTTTTTTTTTTTTTTATTCCAAATTTAACCGAAGTTGGTGGGATGTACCATTTTGTTGTTGTTGTAAGATAATTTCCTGGGGCACGCCTGTTAAATGTGCTGATTTTGCGCAGCAAATTTGAATTTTTTTTTTTTGCTATTAACTTGGGAATTCTTTTTTTGATTATCAAATTTGGAATTATCTTAGCTCGCTGACCCTTTTTTTCATAAAATTGCTATTAGCCGATGAGATGATCGATTGCTTCATTAAATATGCCAAACAAGGTAAAAAAAGGCCGAGCTGGTTCACGAGTTTTATGGGATGGATGGTTGCAGGTCATCTGACGGCGAAGAGCGACGTGTACAGTTTCGGGGTGGTGCTGCTGGAGCTGCTGTCTGGGCGGCGGTCCGTTGACCGGAGCCGGAACGGGCGGGAGCAGAATCTGGTGGAGTGGGCCCAGCCGTGGTTGACCAACACGAAGCGGTTGGGCCGGATAATGGACCCCACGCTGGAGGGCCAGTACTCCCCCAGTGGGGCCCAGAGCGCCGCCGCCCTCGCCGCCCAGTGCCTCAGCCGCAACCCCAAGGGCCGCCCCACCATGAAGGCCGTCGTAGACGCCCTCGAGCCCCTCCTCCTCCTCGACGACTTCCACGTCGGCACCTTCGTCTTCACCGTCTTGTCGCCGCCGGAGGAGGCGGCAGCGAAGGAAGCTCTGCCGGCGAGGATGAACAGGGTTCTCCGGCGAGGGGAGAAGGAGGCGGCGGCAGAACCGCCGCCGGTGAGGATGAACAGGGTTCTCCGGCGGGGGGAGGAGGAGGTTGCGGCGGGGGAAGCTCAGCCGGCGAGGATGAACAGGGTTCTCCGGCGAGGGGAGAAGGAGGAGGAGGAGGGGGAGGAGGCGGGGCAACGGCGGCGCCGCCGTGGGAGTGGGCTCGAAGTGCGATCTCCCAAGCCGGTAAGCGTCACCGACACCGCCGTCTACAGAAGCTCTCCCAAGGCCCGAAGCCGCGGTAGGGGAGCATAGGGAACAGATAGAGAGAGAGAGAGGTTCTCTGCGACACCTACCTCTCTTGTTTGGGGAAGGGAAGGGAGGCCGGGGGGGGGGGGTGAGAGTAACACATCTGGCGTCCCCCGGGCATTAGGTTGTACGGACATTTGGATACCCCCGCAGAAGAGATGATGATGTTCCCACGCCGCAGTGTGGGAGACGCTGAGAGAGAGAATGGGGAGGAAACACCTACAATGCGCGTGTCCCCGAATCGTCCAATCTACACAAAGTGTCTACCAGTTACGTAGCAAGGACTGTTCGCTACCTCTTGTTGTTATGTACGGTTTCAGAGGAAGGTGCAGAGAGTGTTTCTTTCCTCATATAGCCCAGAATCAGAGGCCCACCCATTCGGAAACTGGGCCCTAAAAAGAGAATGCCAAAAGATTGACCTAAAATCTTATTGGACCCCACTAAAGTGTGAGAAGACTAATTTACCCCCCGCACCCTTTTACAACCAAGGAGAAGTTGAGTTAAGCATCACCAGTTTTCTCTACTCTTAGAGCTTCTCCTCGTGAATTCGATAGCTCCCTGATAATCGTGGACTCAAGGCTCGATTTCTTCATCCAGGTTTGAGCTTGGTGGATTCAACCTCGGACATTGTGATTTTCTCCATCGACGTTGTGTCACCTTTCCTCTTGTTTTCTGTGGATTAGTCTCTGAGAGGTGAGAAATCTGAATGGTTTCAGAAGATTCAGAACATGCACTCACGCAAGAAATATTGGCAAGTCTGAAGGACTGAATCAAGTTGAACGAAATATAAAGAAGAAAAATCGAATAGAGAAATGAAGAGGGCATGGGATCTTGGAAGAAGAACAAAAAAAGAAAAAGATATGGTGATGATATGTGTTTATGAGCTATCCAGATCAAAATGTGGAAAAAGAAAGGATAGATTCATGGCGGATGAGTTGAAAGCAAGCAATGAATGAGGATGGACGAAGCACAGTGTTCAGTTGAGAAGATGTGATCTCTCGAAGATGATCTCTCCATGTTGGATTGAGAGTTCCTCCTAAGCAGATCGGGATGATTTGGCTCATATTCTGGGAGGATTCTCGGGATTCAAGAGGGCGATACTAGTTTTCCATCACAGGCATCTTTCCGGTCTAGGGTTCTATTCCTCCCCGATTTCAACCCTGGTGTAAATAACTAGACGTAACAATTTACGGAGGCCGTCGACATATATCTTGAGATTATTAGCGGAGATTTGGGAAGAACAAAGAGGAACACGAGTACAAACAGATCGGACACCAGAGTATCCGCGAAAAAAGCAGAGAGTGAAGTTAAGATGACCGGCGACGGCGCGAGATCCGATCAGGCGCAGGCGCAAGGGTTCTCGACGGCGATGAGATCCTCCTCCCCGCTGCTTCTGAAGGCGAGGTATCCGCTGGCGAGGCCCACCACGACGGAGATGAACACGCCGCCGTTGAAGGACATGATGGCGAGCATCAGGAGGTATCCGATCGCCGAGTTGACTCCGAAGAGGACCGCGACGGCGGTCCTCACGGCGGCGGCGCGGCGGACGGAGACGATGCCGAGGAGGGGGGCCTCGACCGAGGCGTGGGGCAGAGGGGCGGGCTTCAGAAGGGTGATGGCCTTGAAGCGGATCCGACGGTCCTCCATGTACTGGTAGAAGGCAGCGCAGAGGAAGACGGCCAGGAGCGAGACGGTGTATCCCGTCCACGTCTCCGTCCGCCATGAATCGAGCAGCAGCGTCACCTTCCTGCTCCAGTAGAAGGTCATGTGCATCATCTTGCCAATCTCGGGGGGAGAGAGAGAGAGAGAGAGAGAGAGAGAGAGAGAGTGTTGAAGAGACAGGAGGGGAGAGGCGGAGGAGGGAGTGCCGGAGAAGGAATGGATAGCTCCGAATGCGGGTAACCGGAGTATCACTTATAGAAGAACCCTGAGATACATTTGTATTACTCTTATGCCATTAAATATCCGTCAATAGGGACGGAGGTGAGGTCCACACTGTGGGTAGTGTAGTCATTTGTGCTCTCAGTGAGAGGTGATGTGGCAGGGGAATCCCGGAGGCGGCGATGGCCGGCGGGAATAAACGGCGAAAAAGTGGTAGTTGAAGTGAAAAGTGGCAAACAGTGGCTATTTTCCTGAATTATTATTTAATTCCATAAATTGGATTATAGTAAAAAAATAAATTATCGCTGTTGCCACATTATTATCCGTGCAAAAGCGGCATGATTGATGACATTTGTCTATTTTATTAATTATTATAAATTCGAGGAATCATTTAAATTTAAATCATATAAATTCGAGCATAGAGAGGCATGCTTTCCTCGCGGGTCCACCCGACAAAAAGTACCCGGGTATATTGTTACCATTTTACCCCTGCCGACCAACTCATTAAGGGGATATCTCGGCCCTTTCGCTCCGCACGACAGAAGGCATGAAGCAGGTGTCCCTAAACAGACGTTCGGGTTAAATAGGTCATTTCAACTGCCAATTCACATTTTCAATAAGATTAGAGGGAAGAGGCAATGACACGTAAGTCCCGACGACTGTCAGTTGGTAAAGCTCCGCGGGAGGAGCTCTGTTGGGTGAGGGAGGATGCGACGTGGCAAGTAGAGGCCTGATTCTCTAGACCTGGTCAAGGGAGAAGGTGCAAGAACATGCCTTTGCCCCATATCATGTACCTCCTGCGATTTTTCGAGGAATTCTCGAGGTCAAACAGAATATCACGAGGTAAAAAACGCTTGAATGTTAGGTCAGACTGTTCGTCTAGAAATCCCAGGCTTTAGTGTTCCCCGATAATGTGTCAAACCGGAAGAAAGAGGGTAGTCCTTGAAGAATAAGAAAGAAGCCCCTTGCAAAGTCATCCTCATTGGGTACCGAGACCAAAAGTCAAAGAAACAGCTGCCCATTCACTTGGAATCGAGTAAAATACCCGTCAATGCAAGAACACCCCATCTTACCAATCGCATGCTAAATGCGAGTGAGTGTGTGTGTGAGAGAGAGACGTTACACATTGAAAAATTACGGAATTCAAATAAATTTGACTTCTGCAGCAAGAAATGAGGATCAAGAGGACTCAGTGTTTTGAAGGATACCAATCATGAAATGTACTTGTAGATAAGATGAACAAATGACATACCAAAACCATTAGAATTTGGCAATCATGACCATGGAAAAGAACAGTCGGATTAATATTTTAGAAAAGATAGCCGTAAAAATTTCCAATGTCAGACGATTCTGTGATACAGAATCTCTGATTAAGCACTAAATTACAGGTCGTTAATGGGATGTTAAATTACAGGGCGATCGCTGACTTCGCAGCATTCAAGAAGTCAGACCTTCCATATCTTAATATGGGGGATCATCATATCTTGGGAATAGACGACATGGTGGATCCTTCACTATATTCCAAGATTCTCTGTGGCGGAAAACTGAAGGTGATCGCATCACGGGTGTCTCTACTGCACCTTTGAAGTAGAGAACCTTTGAGATTCTCCATCTAGTGTGAGAAGGCACATTTAATGCAAGAGAATTGTCGATGTGGATGGATGAAATATCTCATTTTTACCAGAATTTACCGAGATGGTTGATGGGGATCTATATATACAAGAATGAAGATTAAATAGATTAGAATCCCCAGATGCTCTCAAGTCAAAAGGAGGACCTAGAGATCAAGAGAGGGGGCCCACCTACAAGATGCAATGTAAAGAGGGGGAGACTGATAAGTCTTCATTATCATGAGTTAATAATTAATAAATAATATAGTTTTAGACTTAACTCATGATAAATAGACTTATATTTGTGTTAAATTATAAAATTAGTTTTCAGTTGATTAATGTGATTTTTTAGTTAAAATGTGATTTTATGTGAATTTATATGATTTTTATCATCATATTTTTAAGATAAATGAAAAAAATAAAAATAAAATAAAAAGATAGAAAAAGGAAGGGACTTGTCAGTCAACTAGACCAGCAAGCAAGTCGGAAGCACAATCAAGGTAGAGCCATGAGCAAAGGATCGAGTGGTTATGGACAGATGGGGGCAAGTGTGCGCCACTCCCCTTCCACATCACCAGTGGCCAACCAACTGTGGGACAAGGAGTAGTCGTACACACGAGAAAATGAGTCATTACTTTTAAATCTGAGATTACTATATATTCGTCCAAAACTTTGGCGTACAACTGATGTGGGACTAAATTGGTGGTCACACCTTCTCCAGAATGATTTTAATTAATTTAATATCTTAAATACCCCTTAGTTATAATAGAGATATATCATGATGAGATCACTTCATAAAGGTATTATAATACTTATTTCAATCTCTCTCATACAGGTGGATGACATGTGCAGGTTCGAATCTTATTAGAGCCAAAACACGTATTTAAATTGTGACTTTCCTACAGATCACCAATGAAGGATTAAGTCGCCAAAATCGCTCGATCATTAGCGAAAATCTTGTTAACATAATTTACGAAATATTGTCACTAAAATTGCTGAACGATTCGCGATAAAAGGATCATTGATAAGTCTTTATTATCATGAGTTAATAATTAATAAATAATATAGTTCTAGCCTTAATTTATAAGAAATAGACTTATATTTGTGTTAAAGTGTGAAAAGTGATTTTCAGTTGATTAACGTGAATTTTTGGCTAATTATGTGACATTCTACGAATTTATATGATTTTTATAGTCTTATTTTTGAGATAAATGAAGAAAAAGAAATAAAAATAAAAATATAGCAAAATGGGGGAGGACTCGCTAGCTAGTCGGGCCTGCAAGCAGGTCGGAAGCGTAGTCAGGGGAAGAGCTGCAAGCAAGGGCTTGAGCGGCTAGGACCGATGGGGACACATGTGTGCCACTCCCCTTCCACGTCATTAGTAGCCAGCTGGCTATGGGGCAAGGAGTGGTCACACACGCGAGAGAAAGGGACTCATTGCTTACAAATGTAATATTACTATTTATTCACTCGAAACTTTGGCGCACAAGCGATGTGGGACTAAACCCACATTACACCTTCTCCTAAAAGGGTCCAAAGATTTTAATACCTAAAATATCTTTTATTTATAATAGAGATATATCATGATGATGTGACTTAATAAGGGCATTAGAGTACTAATTTCAATCTTTCTTATGCAGGTGGGCAACTGGCATGAGTTCGAATCCTCTTAGAGCCAAAACTTGTATTTTTATCTAATTATCGCAACTTTCCTATAGATCATCGATGAAGGATTAAGCCGCCAGAATCATTGGATCATCGGCAAAAATCTCGTCAACGTAATTTACAGAGCATTGTTACTAAAATTGCTGAATAATTTGCGATAAAAAGATCACGAATTCATCGAGTAGATCATCTCCGATTGATCGACGAATAAGCCGTTGTCGGGAAGAGGACGATCCACCGAGAGACAAGTCGCCAGCTCTTGAGAGCGTACCGAATGTGATGAAGAGCCTCCTTTTGTTGTGTGGACCTGAGGATGAAGCTCTCTAACATGCGTCCCACCTCCATCCAGCTCCTCTTCGTTAGGTGACAGCCGCCAAAGAGTTACAAAGTCGTCATTTTTCTACTCCGTTGGGTGACAATTACTAGAGACGATTTGACGACCCATTTCATTGATCTCTAGACTTCGCAAGGAGATCTAGAGATTTCCCACGTCGTCTTTGTCCAAAGAGAGCCTTCAAGGCTGTGGACACTGCACAACAATCCTCTCGAATGCTCAGAATTCTGGTGCATCGCCAACGCATCGTCGCCGCAACGTCGGAATTCTGTTCTCTTACTTTCAACTTAATTTCCACCTCATTTAGTGATAATTTGTGTGATTTAAATTTACCAAGCTATACTTCATTCAATTACAATTCTTTCAACTTTTACAGATCTTAATTTAATCAATTACATCCGCACCCTAATTTCTCTTTTTTGTGAATTTTAAATATATTTTATTTTAATTTCTTAGTATAAAATTCATAGAGAATCGTATTCTTTGAGGAAAATTCTAAATAATTACCCAATATTATATTACATCCCTATGATCGACCTAAAAAGTTACCACTATTTTTAGAAGTTTGATTGAATTATAATTAATATGTTTGTTCAGAAATACTTTTAAATAGTTGAAAATTAGTATTTTCTAGTTTTATAAATTTAAAATTTGTGTGATTTATTATATAACGACTAAGTCACGTCAATTATGAATCTATTGAGTAAATCATCATCAATTGATTGATGAACAAGCTGCCAATAGGAAGAGGATAATCCACCAAGAGACAAGTGCCACCTCCTGAAAGCGTACCGGATGTAATGAAGAGCATTCTCTTACTACACAGACTTGAGGATGAAGCTCCCTAACATGTGCCCCACCTCCATTTAGCTCTTCTCCGTTAGGTGACACCTACTAGAGAGCTGCAAAGTCACCATTTTTCTATTCTACCACGTGACAGTAGTTGGAGACAATTCGATGACCTATTTCATTGATCTCTAGACTTCGCAAGAAGATCTAGAGATTGCCCACATTGTCCTTGTCAAAGGAGAGCCTTCGAGACTATGGACATTACACGACAATCCTCTCGAACGCTTAGAATTCTGGTGCATCGTCAACGCATCGTCGCCACGACGTTGGAACTCTATTTTTCTACTTTCAACTTAATTTTTACTTTATTTAGTGATAATTTGTTTGATTTAAATCTACTAAATTATTCTTCATTCAATTACGATTCTTTTAGTTTTTACAAATCTTAATTTGATCAATTAAATCGTCTACAATCACTTACGTAAGAATCGTCAGAC